CTAATATCCCATGGGCTATTCAGTTTATACATCAAATCGGGTCGTAAAACATAGACACGTAAATGCTGACCAGCCAAGTCCACTCCTGAGTATATGAAAGAGGTAAATGAAAACGGATTGTTGATACACTAGCAGAAATGAATTTTAATAACTTTTACGCCGCCCAATGCTAAATTTTAGATTTTATACTCCGACCCTATGCCTTATTTGCCAGCGGCGGCCGCAGCACCCCCTCGTCGCTTTGGGTTACTTCGACCAGGTCGTTTCTTGTTTTGATTGCTTTGATCGCTTCCTTCAATGAATTTGAGAAGCTCATCAATGCTTCGCGAATCGAGTCCCCTAGGAGCATCTCGACCAGCAGCAGCTTCAACAGTTTGGCCGATTTGGGGTTGGACCTGGGTCTGTCCAAGAGTGACACGAGGAGATACTCGAATTCCTCTGTTTCTGCGGGCTTGAACATCCTTTGCGTGTTTGGCAATCGATACAGCATTTTGAGTAAGCTGTTCAAGCCATTTCTCTGCTTCCTTAGTGTTCTTGTCCTCTGCGCCTAACTCAGTAAGGAAGATGTTGTAAGACTCGCGCATACGGTTGACAGCGGATTTGGAGTCTTGATCCAATGCCAAAGCTTGAGCCAATTGGAAGAGCAAGGTTGCAGCATTAATAGAATGCTTTCCGTAAACCTCCTCACAAATTTTGAGGGATGCTTCAAACCATGTGCGAGAATCGTGATATTCCTTCAAGTGTTGCAGCATAACTGCAGCATTGTTGATTGTTGTGATAGAGTCAGGATGGTTTGGACCGTAGACGACCTTCCACAAATCCAAAGCGTGCTTGATGTATGTCAAAGCCAACTTGGTCTCTCCACTTGCGTGTGCAATGAGTCCAAGGTTGAGATAGTTCAAAAGTGTCTCAGCATTGTCAACACCTAATGTTCTCTCGGAAACTATAACAGCCTTGCGGGCGAGTTCCATAGCAGCCTCCTTCTCGTCGAGTTGATAATAAAGCATCGACAAGGAGTTGTATACTCTCGCCACTTCAGGGTGAAGAATGCCATAAATCTGCTCGTGTAATGACAAAGATTCCAAGAGTAATTCTTGACCCAACTTCTTTTGGTCCTGTAGAAGAGAAATACGTCCAGCTTCTAAAGCTTCTTCTGCAAGGGAGCTTCTTGGAGACGCCTCTTTGATGATTGGAACTGTGTTAAGGATATCATCTGGGTTGAAGGTGACAGGCGATGCGGCGTTTGCAGATACAACAGATGCAGGAGAAGCTTCACGGGCATTCTTCTTCTTCTTCTTGCTGCTGGTGCTCTTTCCAGTGGGAGCCGTTTCCTTTGTAGCCTCTCCATTAGTTGCTGGTGGGGCTGCTGCTGCTTCAGTCTGCGATTGCTTTGTGAAATGGTAAGGCTTCATCTCCAATTGAATACCAAGCTTCAAGGAAACTTCGCGAAGAAGTTGCAAATGTTTGATGCCTGCAGTCCATGTAGAGTCGAGGGTATATCGGAAACGACGGAGAACTTGACCTTCAATCTCTGTTCTGAGACTCTCTGGGGTAACCTCCTTGAATTTCAAATCTGCCTCTGGATAAAGCGCAGCCATAGCTTCATCAACATCTGGTTTTGGAGCTGCGTTCAAATCTGTGCCGAGCAAGCAATTGAGAAGATGGGCAATACATGAGCTTGTCAAAGGAATAGGGAGGTAACGGAGATAATTGCCAGCGACATGCTTGAATGCTCTCGACACCATCTCTTGAACCGCCAAAATGCGTAAGGACTCGAGTCTCTTGCCATCCGCAAGAGTAGCAACTTGGCCGAGGTATCTGAGATTGATACCACGTTTATGAAGGAGCCTGCTTAAAGACTGTCCATCCATAGGGAAACCAACATCACCTTCCTTGAGATCCTTCACAAGTTCGGGTAACACTGTCTTGCGCAAGAACTCACAAACCAATCGAACTTGCTGTTCATCCTCGGCAAATTCGGCCTTCTCTTCATCAGTTTGTGGCTGCTGTCCACTGAAAGCATCTGGGTTCAATGCAAACTTGAAATCGCCAATATCAATTCTTTCTTGATCAGGCTTGCTGGGTTCTGCAACCTCATCCGATTCGCTCTTCTTGGCCACTTCTCCATTCTCGGTTGGCTTCTCGCTCTTGGCTGGCTCCGATGCCTCAGTTGCGGCTTCGATTTCCTTTCCTTCGGTAGTAGGCTCAACGGTTTTCTGAGCCTGGCGCTTACGTTCCAATTCGCCGTTGACCCATTCGCGCATCTTTACTTTCCAGTAAGCCTCGACCAATTCAGGTCGGATAACTGTCATGCGATGTGGATATGCCGATTCACTCGCCGAATCAACCTCCTTGGGGCTGTCAAGTGCAGTACCGACTTCCTCCATCCAAGTAATATCCAATGGGGTAACTCTATACAAATCAAGAACGTATTTTCTTCCGTCAGTACCCAAAAGACCTTTGGTTTCGATACTGCCTTCGAGATCATGACGCTTTGCATCTTTGTCCCAAACTGCATGCTTTTTGACTTTCAAGGCCTTGGAAAGCTTCTCGAAAACAGACACAAACTTCTCATCCGATGCGACAATGTCTTTGCCATCCACTGCACCATAATCAATTTGGTTCTCGCCTGGGTCACGTTGTTTGAATATTCCTGGCACAATACTTTGTCCAACAATGCGCTTTCCAAGGTAATCAACAACTACAGTTCCTGGAGTAAACAAGCCGTCGATGTCCAATTGGTTGACCATACGGACTCCCATAACATCCTTGCCTACTGCTGCCCTAGCAGCCTCGTCACCACCCTCTGAGGCAAAAGTACCCACGCCATCGGCTCCAAAGGAAAAGAAAACGTTATTGTAGACAAAAATTTGAGCGTCTTTGCCTTCAGTTGGGTTGAGAGGAGCTATTTCACCCCTAGCAACTAGAATCGCACCACGAGCTGCAGCATCGTTGTAGTCAGCGAATAACTTCGAAGTCAATCGCTCTCGGAATACACGATCCTGGACAGTGTCTTTTGGTAGTTCTCTAGTAGACTGGAATTCTTCATTCCAATCTCGCAAAGTCTCGCTATTTTCAATTCCAGCAATCAGATAATTTTCTTGAGTGCGTGTTATATCAGCTTGATGTGCAACAAGGGGCGCCGTTGCTGATGGCACAATCCATGGATTTGAGGGAGTTGCATTTGTGATTTGGAATGTAGCCAAAGGTTCTTTGGTGTTGTTATATTCCTGGAGGCTCTTGAAGGATTCCTCAAATGATGGAGACAAGTCACTAAGAAGTGCTAAAAGTGAGTGCGCGGAATGGGCTTTTGGCGCAGATTTTGGCGATGGATCAAATTTGCCTGTTGAAGACTTGTTCACGTAGAAGCCAGATACGTGAGATGTGATCTGGAATTGCTCCCCCTCGTTTGTAGTGACCTGTAGGTAGAGCAAATGTCCCTTCTGTCTAAGATGGTAGGGTGGGGGATTCCAAGGAGAGACTGAAATTGACTTGACAGTTTTTGGCCCTGGCTCTTGTGCTCTTGGTAGAAGGGTCGAGAGATTGCCGGAAGCTTGGAAGTCAAATCCGACCATTGGATGTGAAGGAGCTGTACTCGTGCCGTTTTGACTGGATTCCTTTGATGTGACCGAATCAAGCAGCGAAGCTCCTGAAATAATACCATTCAAGGTATCGGTACGATCCCCGGCAGCACCAATAAGCTCCCGCACTCTAATAATATGTATTCTTGCCTCTTTCTCCGTGTACGGGTCCTCGACTAAGTGTATTTCTGAGTCCGCCGTTAAACCAGGGACCTCGGATATCTGAACGAAGTCATTTATTCTCTCTCCCTTGTGCTCGAGGTGGAAACATGAGTACTGGAAGGTTCCGGGCAGCTCGATTATTGATTGGCGAACATCGTGTATAGCTTCTTGAGAAGAGACCTAGCTATCTGAGCATTGAATCTGCATATCTTGTGAGGGGGTTTCACTCACGATGATCTGAATTTTATGGGGCTCGCGGGGAAGCACCACAGTCAATTGAAAGACTACGTTCTCGCATTAGCATAAAATCTGGATAAGTCTTTGAACTGCCAACTAATCCTACCTTCACCGCCCGCTTCCCCACCATCTTCTTCTTCGTGGTCAACACCATTAGTTATGGCAGTCTCTTCAGTGGCAAGCTTTTGCGAGCTGCTTGAAACATCGGTAGGGGTTTCTAAAGGCGTCCAATGTTAGTAGATGACTCATAATAGGCCACACAGTGAAATGAAAAGATCAATTGAATTGAAACTGGAGTAAATATGTATTTTGAAGCGCTTTTCGAGCTCTATAAAGTGCTTAGGGTGGCTTACCAGAAGTGGTGTTGTTAACCTCATTGTTTACAGCCATTTTGTACCTTGAAAAGCTCTCTTACGTAGGTATAATACAATAAAAAGAGAAGAAGGTACAAATCGATATTCCAACACAAGAAATGGCAGGAATTCAAAAAAGACTTTGTTGATTTTGTTGTACAAATGGAGTGTAGAGAGAAAAGAAAAAAACCCCTCTTCTGTTATGGATGAATTATGTGCAAGTGAAGAATAAATTTATTCCACTTTCTTCAAATCCAAAAGGGCAAGTACAAAATTTAGTTGAATGCACGGAAAAACCCGGCCCGTACCAGTATTATGACAATCCTTGCTGACATCACCACTACACGGCATTTGTTCACTACATATCCCTAGCGAGTCTCCTCTCTCTCTCTCAAAAACATCAACATCAAACAACATCAACCTTACCTTTCTTATTTGCATACAATTCCTAATTTCTTTTGCTATTATAGATTCATTCTCTAGAGTATTGCTTCTTGCATTCTTCTATAGAATATAATTATTTGCTGCGAGAATTACGATTCTGTCTTATCACTTATCGCGCAGAATCCAATTAATACATCGAACTCAATCAGAATCAGTATGCTTGATCCCCGTTTCTTTGGCTGGGGTTTAATCAAATTGATGACCCAAACTATAGGTTAATATCATGCAAGAGGGGGGTGTTCCATTGGGAACAGAATCGGAAAGCTTCTCCAATAGTTTCACTCCAGTGCGACGCGATGAATCAACATTGAATAATTGGCGACTTGATCAGGATGCCGAAAAGGATTGGACTACAGCTCGATGCAATCGTTTATTGCGACCTTTGACCTCCCGAATTTCAATCCTACGTAAAAGTAAACAGAGCTCCCTCAACTGTGTAAATGCCCAATCTCAGAAGGGCAGATCGCACGTTGATTACAACGTCAACGCATCAGGCGATCCAATCTGGGGTGCTCGAAAGAGGGTTAGTACGACATATAGCTGGAAAGCAACTTGTAAAAGAAGAGATGCCAGAGGATCGAGGCGACATGTCAACATCTCAGAGTCTTCTCTACAGTTACAACCATATGGGAGAGTGGTAGCCTCAACTGATCTTTCAACTGAAGATATTGTAGTTCCAACGCCAGTGCTCAACCGAGCACGGAGACCATCTGCACCGTGGAGACAAACCACCCCGCCCTATCTCCCAATATGGACTATACCTGAGGATTGCCAACGCAGGAGGCCAAAGTCTATTCTAGCTACCGATGCGCCTATTCGCGCTCACCCAACAGGTAATAGCGCTCAAGTTTTGAGCAAGATGCGGGGTACAATGGGTGCTACTAGCTTTCATACTCTAGAAGGTATTTATAATGGCCTTGATGCATTACTAAAGGCAACACGTTCTACTACACATAAGAATCACAGAAGAGGACCTAAATCATTGCTATCCATGTGCCTCGCAACAGTACCAAAGTGTATTACCATGGAGGAAAAGTTATTCTCTAGTGAGGTCAAAAATGTAGGTTCTTACTCGACCATTGAAAGGAGAGATGTTTCCACAGAGACTTACGATGGACTCGAGCGGTTTTTTGGCGTATCTGATCGGGGCTGGAAACACCTTCGAACTCTGGTTCGAGCTCATGGTGTTCAGATAATTCGCGATGCAATTTTGGAAGGGCTTTTGGAATTTAACTTTAGTGAACTACTCGTCGATCTTTGTATATATTCAGGACATTACGACGAAGCAGAACTATTACTTTCAAGTCTACTTTCAGTATATAAGTCTCCTGCTCCAAACCAAAGAGCTCAAAATCATGCATTGCCTGGGCCACTGGCAACGCTTCGTAGCTTCGTGGAAGAAACAATGCGTACTGGGTTTGCGTATCGGCAATTTTCCTTGTTGATTCAAAGTGGAAACCTTCCGCTCCCATGGGTAGCAACATCAGCATTTGCCCCCGTTTGGACTGGTTTGATGCAGGATTTATCATTGAATCATGCGAGAGCAGATGCTACGATGCTCATGGATGCCGTACTGCCACGCCTTGTAGACTACGTGTCACAGCCTGACTCCTCGTCGGATACGGGCTTTCATGAAATATGCAGATCAACATTGTTAAGCGTGCTGACGACTATTACATCTATCATACTCCTCAGCAGGGGTGAAGGGGGGCTTGAAGGCGAAGACGAGTGGGCAATGTCTGAATCCGTGCTCGACAATGACAGTGCTGGAGGACTACCGGTAGCACTAGACACGCCCGCGGGATACTTGACTTCACATGAAATACATGAGTTTGACCACTTCACCATCATTAGCAGCGCTCATTTCAAGCTTTTGAAGGATTGTCTCAAGATTATCGGGCGTGATAACAAGGAAACCGCTCTCAAAAGTACCATTTTTCTCCTGGCATGTCTAGTGACTGAGCCTAATGCAGATGATATCCCACATCTCATTATCGACTCTCTGTACGAGACGTGTGTAGAACACACGGGGAATACAAAGTCAAATGACGAAGTCCCTTTTTCGTTTGTCCAGAAGCCGCTGTCTGCCTACGACGAGGCTGTTAAGTTTTTAACTTCAGTGGCTCGTTGTTGTGGAAAAGGAGCTTCTAACTCTGGTTTTGAATATCTCCAGTATATACATCGGAGACTCAAAAAGGTGAATACAGGTAGAGATTTGAAGGCGAGGACTATCTGGCACGGGATTGTTGTGGATAGCGCATTTGCCTTCGCACGAGTGACGCCGGGCCAAAAATATCTCGACTATGCGGATTCTATGGATGGTGAGCTTCATGCAGGTGGCTCAAAAAGACCTGATTCGGGGAGAACAGAGGCTCGCCGTGAATCGACAAGCTTTAGGTGGGAAGAAGGTATAAGCTCTTGGGTAACAACAACACCTGCCACCAATACCAACGAAATCAAAGGCATGACTAGCGACTTTGAAGATGAAGAAGTCGAGCTTGAATCACCTTCAGTTATCCGCTCACAACGGCCTATGCGACTAAGTCGAGGGACAAAGAGGAAACGTGATAGTATTGAGCACGAACAATCTATCGAGCCAGAAGTGCAAACACCATCAACAACTCAAATGGGAATGCGAAGAAGGAACACCGCATCCTTAGGCATCTTCCATAACAACAGCAGCGATGATGAACTCAGCTCCAGCCATGGATCATTCGAAAATCTTCGTGTTTTGAAAGATCTCGGAAACGCGGGATCTCGAAATCGATCGAAACTGGTCAATGCTAAGCGTCAAAAAGGATATTCACCTACGAGGAAACAATCGTCGCTAAGTGAGGATGAATTGGGTATGTGAGACGGCATACACATCGGCTATTCCTCTATATAGCTAAATGGGGAATTGTTACCTCTCAAAACGATGATGTTTCATGCAACGACTATGGATTTAGAGAACAACAGAGCAGACGACGATTACTCTTCCTTATCTACTAGCTATTGAGGGGCTTTTGGGAAAGTGTAAATGTGGAGTTTCAATGAAAGAAGCTGTGATATCGGCACCATTCATGCTCTGCCTATGATGAGACGAGCATCTGGCAGTTAGATCATCAGATTGTCAGATCACGGATATTATTACCAAAAAGCAACATGAGTCCTCCATAGGACGACGACGCGACGATTAATGTATGAAAAAGTATTTGCATGCGGAATGGACATGAAAGCATAGATGTCTGAGGTTGGCTTGGCGCACGTGGATATGGACGGTTAGATTCACCTGATCTTTGCTGATCAGGAAGGCCATCATGGTTGGGGTACAATGCTCGGTCTATCTTGTATATGATTGGTGTTAAGGAACGCGTTACGCGTCATTTGACAAAGCGTAGCCTTGGTTGGAGCTGCAAAGGATCTTTGCGATTTGGATGTGTCAATGTCACTGTTGGAAACACAGATTTCTCCTGGCATATCTCAATACTCTAATACAAACTTACGCAATACATAGGAAGACTTTTCCCGCCATGTATCTGTGAATTTTTGAGCTGAATTTAATACGTTACATTGTGGACATTTCTCATCTAGTATATCATCATTCATTAATGCAGCGGGGGTTTTTCCGGGACTTGGCCCGCCAACTTTATGAGTGGGTGAGCGGGCGACCTGCTCCGAAATATATTTAATTTGGAAATTCATCCCCTCTCCGTTGTTGTGGAATTGAATTGAAGAGTAGATATTTTAGGACCTTTTCAATCCACTCTCGAAATACAACTGCCTTGTGTGCGCTAAAGGAATATTTTTGCAGCTTGCCCCAGTGTTATGTTCTATTTCTAGCTATGTATCCATTATCCGTTCCGCCGTCTCCATTTCGTCTCCATTATTGTATCCCGATGGTATGTAATTATGAAAGTGCGAGCGCTGCCCAGGCTCCGCTCGATACGGTATCCATGTAGACGCTATCGAATCTTGGTATACTGAGTCTTGAGTATGTATGACTTAGCATTGAGTGTGTACCAGTAGGTATTGTGTAGTTAGTTGCTGAATGCTTAGCTTTTTTGTAGAGCGGAATTTTAGATTTAGAATCGAATGCAAATGGAGACTAGGGTTTGAGTTTTGGAGAGAGCAAGGAATGTAATGCTTGTCATTTGTCATTGCTGTAATGGCTGTCGTCTGGGCTTTTGATGTAAAAACGGTGGGAATTTCTGGGTTCGTGGAGGGGGATGGATGAGTGTATTGCATATATGATGATGGATGATGTACTGCGTAGAGAAGGTTTCATAAATGTGTAGGTAGGGAGGAAGAGTCCTTCCTTGCCAGGGATATCGGAGGTTATATTCACTGTCGGGACCGAAGAGCAGAAGTGCATGTCAATTTAATTGTTTACAATGTGTGTAGGTAGGTAGTGAAATAAATGTTGCTACTGTGGTGTGGCTAGGTATGTTGACCTCGGTTACATACATACATACATACATACATACATACATACATACATCGTAGTCCTTCGACGGAGAAAAGGCAGATTGACTCTCTCCTCCGTGCGGACTGCGGAGAACAGAGTTGTAGAATACATACCTAGATACCTAAGTACGAGCAAAATTCAAATATATTAATTTGCAAGATTTCATCGTTCGTATTACATTGGGATAATGATATGGCTCGAGTATGGGTGGTGGATATAGATATGGATATGGATATGGATATGGATATGGATATGGATATGGATATGGATATGGATACGAATATGATATCGTCGACAAGGAATAAAATTCATTTTGCTGAAACATGTTGGCAGGGTCGTTGTATGGATTTCCCTGACTTCATGGATTTAGGGTTCGAAATGACATTTCTGGATGAGTTTAGATGTTACTGTTTGTTTGTTTACGGCGTGTGTTGCCTTTTGGGGAATGTATTGCAGCAGCAGCTGTTGCATGTTAATTTCTAGCAAGGGAATTTAGTGTGCGGTGGAATGATGTATTGTAAATGTTTGGGAAGCAGTAATGTTTTTTGGGGGCTTCTGTTGTTTTGTACATCATACTGCGATGCATTATTGAGGGCACAGATTAATTAGATGATCTCATAGGAGTCACGGGCTGACCTGTTCGACTGGATCGCAAATATATAAAAATGGAATGATGTCTAATCGCAGTGAGGCTTACAGAACGAAAGGATTTTTGCAATGCGATGCTACCTATGTATCAGCAATGAGTCGTTTGTTTTGTCTGGTGACTCGTGAGTTCGTAGGGATCTCTAATCTTCAATGAAGGGGGCAGAGGAAGAAGCGATGAGGATTTCCGTATGCGGTGGTACACGATGGTTTCTGGAGGAAGAAACACTTTTATGCGTGATCGCGAAATTGTAAAGATTGGCGTGCATTATTGGTGATCTGTATTTTGAGTATTAATGTATGCCGCGAAAAGATTATGATCTCCTTCAGCTAAAGCTAATTGTTGGTAAGGTGCTAACACTATGTACATTGTAAGGACGATGGACCGATCCGTTCACCACCTGAATGATTATCGTGACTATTGATTGCATCACCAACTTTCGACTTCTAGACTCAAGATAGATCTTTTCTTCGACAGATGTACAGATGACCTACAAGGCTATGTAGAGGCTCATCCTACGGATAACCTTCTCTGGCCTCCATCGCGATATTCCCACGAAATCCTAGAGGATACTCTTGGCGCTGAGAGAGATACTGTCCTGATCTAATTTGTCAACCTGTAACCTTTAAAGACTGCAAGGGACCATTCGGGATATTTAATCCTCATCATCGCCAAGCTGTTAATCCACGAACATTAGGGCCAGCATGAGCTAATCTAATAGGGTACCATTATTTCGCAGAATAATATTGCTGGGACACTACCATGTATTGTGCCTCTCTACTTGAAGAATTATTTATCCAATCGAGGAGCTTAATAAGAAAGTTCTTACTACGAAGCTTGCTTATTCTTCCTTCTCAGCTACAAACCCTATCTAGATGTATACTTTTTGTTTGACTGCTGACTCCCTTAATTTTCGGTACCGAACCCCTGTTATGAGCACGTCCTTCTCTTCCCCTTTCGCTTCTTGCATATATTTATGAATTTCTGAAATGATGAACGCAACGCAAATCTCCACATTTACTTGATCGGATTACACCCCGATTTACAAACTTATTTGAGCCAATCAGTACTTATTCTGTATGTTACACTGTTCTCTCTCTCGATTTTTACTGAGTGGTCGCCAGGAAGTTAAAAACCTTTAGTTGCTAGGTGAACACTCTATAGAGGTGTGGTTGTGGCCAGCCAGTATACACACCAACCTACTAAGCCACAGATGAAAGGTCTCCTTGGGCACAGATAATGCAAACTTCGTCATCTACCATGGTAGCTAATTCGAGACTATTGAAACGGACACCAGAAATAATTGCCATCCCATCCATCCTGTGTCACCACCCACCCTTCGGCACTTACATTCATCCTATCCAAGTATCACAACACTTGGGAAAATATACTACCAATTCATCTATTAATCAATATAAATCTGCATGCTGAAAATTCTTGCAATAACCGCGACATTCTGTGTATCGTGAATGACAATAGAGCACAACAATTATGCCGAGTAATCCAACCTCCACTGAGTAGTTCTCACCATTATCACTATCTACCGTCTACTATCTAAACATGAGACCAGCTATCAGACCTTCAACCTTCTCTCGCCCATTCCGTTCACGATCGTCAGGTCGGATGCCTCAAACTTGCTACATCAAAATACGTATGCACGCCATATTCTGACCAAGGCCACTCCTCTACCTTGAGAACCGTCCACACGCAGCCTAGTCGTAGACCCATACCAAGACCTGAGCATGTATCCACGACATGATTAAAGATGAGACGATAGGCTATCTTTGTGACAATCGCGGGCTGTAGGCGATTCTCAATCCATCATCCCCATTTTTTTTTTCTATCATCGCCCTCTTTTCATCCTCCTGTGCGCATGATATTCGCTTCAACTTTCCCCTTTTCACAACTTTATACACTCTAAAGGCAAAAGAAAGCATATGATTTGACCCTAAAAACCTATCATCGTCGACCCCATACTTAAGACAAGTTACAACTACTGTACCTAAATCAATTCTGCAAGGTCGCCAAGGCCTATCGACATAGAATTTCTGTACCTTGCAGCGATAGCCCAAACAAGAAGTGTACTGCGTGTGTCAATCCCCGTCCACACATCATCCAATCCTGTCCTGTCCTGAACATTGGAAGAGGCAAACACAGCTTGGATCCTTGCTAAACTCAACATACGTAACCCCATCCATGGTTCAAATTTCGAATTGTGAATTCCAAACTTTTGGGGAAGAAAAGAGTTTGTAAGGTCAGGTTTTTGATATATTGACTCCCGTTCCGCCCTGATCTTCTGGCTAGTCACAAGGGAAAAAGCAAAGAGAGAGAGAGAGAGAGAGAGAGAGTACGGAAGAAAGAAAGAGTGATTAGATGTTGTAACTCACTCGGTACATATCTAGAGATATCCTTCATTTTCGTCTCCTTCTCTGAAGTTACCTACTGTTTGCTGGTTTTTTCTAGATTTAGATTCTGTTTTCCTTTTACAATCCCTCAATTTCGATTCGACTACTTTGTCTAGAAGGTCGTCTTATAAGTTATTTTTACTAGGTATTCCTACTTTTACACTACACATACCGTTGCCCGCTACCCTACCAATATATCTTATATTTTCGTTTCTATTCGAAGCGCCCAGGATTAATAAATAAAATTCATTTATTTTTCCCCGCGGTGCATATCCAAGAGGAAAGGTATGTATCCATCCATTTCATTAGGAATAGCATTCCGAGCAAAAGCCAAGCCTTAAAACATTTTATTCATTTCCAATCTCCCTCCCACCCACCTCCACAAATTTGACTTCTCTAGATTTCTTATTCTCAACTTTTACCTTTTACACAAACATCTTTTCTTCTTCGACGTCTGGATAACGCCTTTTTGGAACATTTTTTTTTGTTCATTTACATTCCTTCAACCCACTTTACCTTCCTTCTACTTTTCGATCTTTCGATATACTCTTGACGATCGATTCTTATTTGTCTTGAATCTGGTTATTCACGGAATCTATCGCTCACTCCGCTCGCTCATTCACTCACGAAATATCTAACGACGCGAGATCGTCTACTACAAACGAAGTCACCCCTCGGTATTCCAATTTTACATCTCGGGCTGGTCTGGGTTGAATATCAAATCTTATTTATCGATCGATCATCATAGACTTTATTACGTCGATTTGAACACTCCAAATACAACTCCAATATCTGTTAGATATTCTTCACAATCATGTTTTCCTCTTCGATATTTGTGGCGGTTCTCGCCCTGGTCGAAATAGTGGCTGGTGAAGCACCATCAGGAAGTTCTTCAACAACAGCAACCACACCCGCCGCACAGGCTGCTGCTGCCGCTGCAAAGGCTCTCAAAGTCAAAGCCGCAATGTTCAACCAGGATTTCTATGATTACATTTTTATTGTTCTTGCGGCTTTGATCGGTGGTATGATTATTTGGAGGGTGGTCATGGAGTCTGTCAAATACATTCGAACCATGGCATCACTCAACAACGAGACGCAACGATATTTCGCTATTCCTTCTTCCGGCTTTGCGAAATTCAAGAAGCATGTTCTTTATGCTCCGGTCTTGAGCAAGAGACATAATAGGGAAATCCAAATGGGAAGAGCCATTAACGTCGGTACTCTTCCTACTAGATTTCAACTTGCCTTTCTCTTGGCTTACTTCGCAACCAACATTGCGTTCTGTGTTGTGAGCATTACCTGGGATCAGTCATATGCTACCGTAGCCCAGCAGCTTAGGAATAGAACCGGTATCCTTGCCGTCGTTAACATGGTAAGTTGAAGAACGATGGGTTGATACGTCCATCACGTGCTAATTATCTTTTAGATTCCCCTCTTCATAATGGCTGCCCGAAATAACCCTTTGATCAACTGGCTTAATTGCTCTTTTGATACTTTCAACCTTTTGCACAGATGGACTGGTAGAATCGTAACCCTTCAAATGATTGCCCATGTTGCTGCTTGGGCTGCCGCCAAAGTTCATGCTTCTGGCTGGTCTGCCGTTTGGGCGTCGATTGGCAAGAGTTCTATGCTCACGTATGGTGCCATCGTAAGTTGTCTCTAAAGTCAAAAACTATTGAGACTTGTACTAAAATCTCGTAGGCTACGATCGCCGCCGTTGTAATCATGATCCAGGCTAGCTCGCCTATACGCCATGCCGCATATGAGATCTTCAAATACCTTCACATCGCACTGGTTATCGTTGTCATCATCGGCATCTATTACCACTTGAAATTAGCTGACCTCCCACAATTACCACTTCTCTGGGGTGCCATTATCCTTTGGGTTACTGAACGCGTCTATAGAGTACTTACCGTTGCATACCGAAACTTCGGAAAGGGTGGATCTAGAACATTAGTAGAAGCCCTTCCAGGAAATGCCGTTCGTGTTACCGTTGATATGGCACGTCCATGGAAATTCAAGCCTGGTCAACACGCATATCTTTACATGCCATCCATCGGACTATTCCAATCTCACCCTTTCTCAGTCGCTTGGTCAGAAGAAGCAGATGATTTATCAGACGAGAAATTAGCTATGAACCGTCAAGATATTCTCGCTATGCAAAAGACAAGCATGTCATTTGTCATTCGAGCTCGAACTGGATTTACTGAAAAGCTTTTCAAGAAAGCCGAGGCCTCCCCAGATGGAAAACTCTATACCAAGTGTTGGGCTGAGGGTCCATACGGAGGAATGCATATGATGCACTCTTACGGCACAGTCATGTTATTTGCCGGAGGAGTCGGTATCACTCATCAAGTCCCACATGTAAGAGACCTCGTTGCCGGATACGCAAATGGAACCGTCGCAGCCCGAAAAATTGTTCTCGTCTGGACTATTCAATCGCCCGAACATCTCGAATGGATTAGACCATGGATGACCTCCATTCTCGCAATGGACAAACGTCGCGAAGTCTTGAGAATTATGTTGTTCGTCAGTAGACCAAGATCGACAAAGGAAATCCATAGTCCGTCGGCTACCGTACAGATGTTCCCTGGTAGACCGAACATCGAGACCTTGTTGGAAATCGAAATGGAAAATCAAGTAGGAGCAATGGGAGTATCAGTGTGTGGAAGTGGTGCGTTGAGTGATGATGTGAGGAGCGCGGTGAGGAAACATCAGTACAACGGAAATATTGATTTCGTAGAAGAGGCTTTCTCCTGGTAGGAGGGAGTAGGGGTGTAGCTTGGGAACGAAAGGGGATCTTCATTCTTTGTATATTTTAGCTTAGGGGTTGATGGAATAGCCGTGGGTTGAAATCGACGAATATGATTTGGCTGGATATTGGGATCATGGTTCTGGTGAGCTTGTGTAGCTAGTGAGCGTAGTTGGAATGCACATATGATTAGACGAATGGTAGTCGGTGTTTCATTGGAACTCTTATGCTGTGATTTTCTAAGAGACTGTAAGGAGTGTAGCGAGGAACCCTCTAGATGCTTCAATATGCATGTAATAATGAATGTGAAAGTAAGAAATGACAGGGTCTAAAACCTTCTGAAAGATGCTTGAATACCTACCTGTCATTGATCACTCAGCTGATCTAAACGAAAGTCAAATCATAATTAAGAAATTCCAAAATTACTCATTGTTTAATATATCAAAGAACGTCATTAGCTCCTAAGAGGTCATTTGATCGATCATTCACTTATCTACCTTTACTCCTCACGCTAACAAACGATAAATCCCGCGATCCCACCACCCGCACCGCTATTCGGATAAGGCGATAAGAACCAACGATAAAGACGACAGACAAACATCTTATGTCAACATTTGACTTGTCCATCTCACCTATTTCCGCCGCGAATACCTATATCCCTACTAGATTACATACTTTACATCTTCTCCTCTGGAAATATACTCACATATCAGAGTCTGCAAACTCAAGCCCAGCAGTTGAACACGAGTTAACACCACCTGACGTAATTTCCTACCAAACAGGCAAGACGGACGAGAGGCAGCAAAGCCTGACGGGACCCGACCGCTTTGGAAACCTCCTAGATAAAATACGAATACAAATAAAATTTCTATCTGCGTCTGCTTCGCCTCTTCTACGCTCATCGATTATCTACATCCTACATTCTACACCATTCATCGCTCGCAGAGAAGAATAGAATCAAAACCTCACCTAGGTATCTACAACCTCGAAATCTGGAGAACATCCCCATCTTCTCCTTCTCGCCTTGACGAACCTTGTCTCCTCACGATCAGTTCAGAAAGTAAGAGAAGAACGAAAAGGCCTCAAGAAATAAGAAAGATTCCATAGCAGACGGAATCATGGGTCTTTCATATAACACATACCTAACCAGCAATAAGATATACGGCTGCAAGAGCTGCAAGACGCATCTGAGTACGCACGAAGAGATTATTTCACGGGTTGGTTTTTCTTCTTTTGTATTTGCTTTATGCCTTTATCAGTATAGCTATATCTATATCTATCCTCTTTCCCCGCACTTCCCCCATAGTTCCCAACTTCCAGTCCTCACATCATATCCAAGCTCCTTTTTCCTCCTTACCTCCCCTCCAACATCTCCAACTAACCCCTCCCAGAATTTCCGCGGCCAACACGGGAAAGCCTACCTCTTCGGCACCGTCGTCAATATCCTCCCGGGCGACCCCTCAGAAAGAAACATGACGACCGGACGCCACATCGTCAGAGATATAACCTGCAAGCGCTGTAACGAATGTGTGGGCTGGAAATACGATAAAGCATATGAGGCTAGCGAGAAATACAAAGAGGGGAAATACATCCTGGAGGCGGAGCTGTTGTGTAATGTTTGTTAGTGGGCGGGTGGAACTGCAGGGAGAGGAGATGATGGAGAATGAAGGGAAAGGGAAATGGAAACAAGGAGTCTGGCATTAGGATTTCTTTTACTTTTACTTTGAACACACACGATCGACTACACAGCGACTACACAGCGACTACGTGTCTGGAGTTTAGAATCGGGAGAGCGGGATATGCGATTGGGTTGGGAGTCTGCGTTACAGATGAGAAGGTGTTTTTTTTATTTCCTTTCTTTTTCATGGGAGTGTGTTTATGGGTGTTATTTGGGAGGGAGGAAGGATGGGAATGGCGACATGGATGTGGATTTGGTTATGGTTATGGTTATGGATACGGTATTAGGAGGCATGCAATTTCCCTGAAAGCATGGCCGGCCCTTACTTGAGAAACGTACAGAATATTTATACAATGATCTGGTCTGATTTGATTTGACTCCATATGATATGATTATTTAGGGGGGTATTTTGGTGCTGGTTATGGATACGGCTATTTATGATGATACCTGCAGATATAGCAGAAGAGTAAAGGTAACTATAGTGTAGTTTATGGCGAAGAAATTCCGACTACCACGCAAACTCGCGCCTGAGATTTCGTAGCGGAAGGAGCTTGACCTTGGACGTATAAAGGATTGGGCGTGTGATGTTGTGGGTGTTGAGAGCGTTTCTGACGGCTGCATATGCCAATATATTCATCCGTATTTGATGACTGCGTGCCCTCCTTCGATATGCGATGCCCGGTCTACTTTCTTCAGAGCCCCGTGAAATAAATCAAGCATCCGCAGCTCAGACAAGTTTTAGAGGGTTTTGATCACAACGAAATTCCCTTCCCAGTCGTGAATCATATTCTTCCTTCAAGGGCTTCAATGTAGCGTCTTCTCGATGTATACTTTAAATATGATATGATGATCTCGGAAGGTTTAGCAGGGTCGAATCTCGGAGATTATGCTTTAGATATAACATCTAATATTTTAGCGTTGGACTGTTTGTTCTAAACCATCTTGCTTGCAAATGAAATCCATATATCGATAACAAATCTGCTGTGTAAGAATTGAGTTTCCGAGTTGTCGAGAAGTTCTGCATATCGAAAGGTGTAAGGTGGCTGTGTTGCTCCTCACTCCATAACAATCAATCATTCAAGATATCCAGGTGTTTCAATGACTCCCAGAATAGTAATCCATCCAAGCCCCCTTCAATTCTGTCGAGGCTTCACAATTCCATCATGCATGATATAATACACAATCGTACTATCATCATGCACCGTCGCCAAAAGTATCCTCTTCTGCCTATTTTCTCCCTGCCATTTCCCTCCCACAATCTCTTCGCCATCCTCCTGAGCATCGTCCTTTCCCTCGGCTCCAGAGCCAGGAGGCACAGTGCCCACGGCGTCGAACACCTCTGCAAAGCGTGCTAAACTCCATTTCTCTTCCAGATGCGTAGGTAGAACCCATTCGCGCTCGGGAAATTGCGCAATGGTTTCTCCGGAGGAATGCTCGGCTTTGAGGATGGCGACTTGCTCGTCGGGGTGGATGTAGGCGCGTCGAGGAGGCAATCCTGAGATTAGAGGGCGAGGAAGAGGTTGCGAGGTTAAGGGGGAGTGTGTGTGGATTGTTAGGGAGGTCCAATCGTGTTGGAGTTGTAGATTTTGGAGAATGGTGGTTGCGAGATGGTGGAGGTAGGCGGGGTGGGTGGTTTCGAAGGGGGTGGGTGTTTGAGTGTTAAGAAGGTTCTGGAGGGCGGAATTTGTTGGGAGAAAGGTAGTAGGGGAAGTGGTGGAGGGCATTTTGAATGAATGGTTTGAGTTCTATTGAGAAGGATTGAAGAATTGTGTTTGGAAACTCATTCGCTGTGTTGTATTTTGCGATAATCAATGACTTTTTCTTATCACACAAATTTGTATGGTAGATGTCGAATAATTCTTTCGCGGGGCTGAATGAAATTTAGGTGGGGGAAAATTTTATCGTTTAAGGAAGGCGGTCTATAATATTTCATTAGCCTTATGCAAGGCTAAGATCTTAGACTTCTAGATCTTACTATTGTTCTCTCCGTCGAAATAAAAAGAGTGACATACTTTTCTATAAAAACATTTTGTTCAAGACTACCGACTTTTCTCTTTCCTACGGTGGTACGTCTGAGCACTTACTTTAAGCTTTAGATTCTATTTCAATCATTTCCGACTCCTCAAGAGGTTGTACCTCTTGAATACTTTTTGAAAGAGAAATAAGTACACTGAACGCACAATTTAACCAGCTGAGGTTGCGCATGATAACTACAAAAACCAATAAACCTTATATATAAAAGAACTCTAAGAATTGATCAAGCCTGTGAGAGGCCTCGATATTTTTAGGATTGCAGATAAAATGTCTGGTTACTCTCATGATATATCACCGGCCTATGCTTTCACTGGTCCAGGTCACCAATACCCTGATCCAGAAGCAAGCCAGAGCCAAAATTTAATATGGCCTACTCATGATTCAACCTCAGCGCAAGGCACTGGTGGTTTCAATCTGGACAGTGCAAGGGCCGAATTTGCTGCAGCAAGTACGGAGCAGAGAAACCAGCGACGAGAGCAGGTGGATGGCGTGGATGATATTCTAGATATGGATTGTGGGTAAGTTTACTTTGGAGGAATAGCGTACGTGTGAAATTGGTTTGACATTGTTATAGTGGTGATTCGGATGATTCGGATCCCGATTATCGGGAATTCGGTAAAGGAATACGCAAGATGCAAAATGAGGTGCGCCAGGCTAGACACCTAGATAGTGATGATGATTCCGATGAGACTCCGGCTGGTCGAAAGAAAGGCAAAAAGCGCGGTGTCAAAGGAGGTAGAGGCCGCAAACCGGGTATCAGAGGTCCAAGGAAAGCAGCGGAGCCAACTGGTGATATCAAATTACGGTTAGGTCAAGCCAATCATGCATTCTTGAATGGACGTTGTGAAGAAGCTAGAGACATAGCTGCGGAAATTGTTCGAATTAATGCAGAGACTTACGAAGCATGGACTTTACTATCTGCCTGCTTCAAAGAATTGGGCGAATACAACTCGGCTGTCAAGGCTCTGATGGTTGCTGCGACTTGGAGGCCGAAGCATCCCGGTGCTTGGTATGCCGCCTTAAATTTCGCTTTGAACGAGACTGGTGATTTAAGATCAGAGTTTCTTATCTCTGCTCAGTACGCTGCTCAACAAATTCTCAGAGCGGATTCACAAGATCTGGAGGCTCGGAGAATCAAAGCTTCTCTCATGCTTGAGCGAAGAAATCTTAGTCATGCGGCCAAAGAATATGAAATTATTCTCAAGCGTTGCCCATTCGATACAGAAGTTATTCAAACATTAGCATCAATTTACGTTGATCGAGGGCAGGTAGAGGTCGCCATGAAACTTTACACTAAAACCCTCGATAAATTCAAGAAAGCCGATGTAGAAATTGACACACCCTTTGGTTGGACAGATGCCTATGCATACGTCGAGCTCTTTGGGCTCATGGAAAAATACACTGAAGGTATCAGGGAGCTCAGGTCAGTAGCTCGTTGGTTAGTTGGAAGGAGTGAGGAAGAGTTTTGGGACCAATTCGTTGATGATGATCGAGAGTGGGATGATGATCATATTAGAAGATCTGAGTGTTTCCAATTTGATGCGAAGACATTCCCATTAGATACATATGGTCCAGGCTTGCCCGTCGAGCTACGAGTCAAACTTGGACTATACCGGTTATTCCTTGGTCATTATAAAGAGGCTATGGTAAGCCAGCTCATTCTCCTTTATGTAAAAGTTTTCCTAACATATCCAGCGTCATTTTAGTTATCTCAAAACCTCTGACTATAATGGCCAAAGTCTTGTTGAAGAATTTCCTCACCTCTTTGAGGAAGTCGCTGATACTTTGGCTGAAAAGGGTTATAATAAGGATGCTTTGGATTACTATTTGCCATTGGCACCAGGCGTTGGTTCCGAAGGTGCTTCGCTGCATTTCAAGATGGGTAAGTGTTGGCTTGGTGAAAAGTCTGACCAAGAGGCCGAACTCTGTTTTCAAAACGCAGTACAAATGGAAGTGGACAACATTCCAGCAAGGATGGAGCTCGCTAAACTTTACGAAAGACTAAACGAAAAAGACCAGTCTTTCATGTATGTGAATGAAATCATAGCAATTCGACGAACACAACGTCAAAATGAGAACCTAGCATTTGGAACAGGATCTTCCGACCCTGCACCTTCTAAGAAGCCACGTAGAAAACACACGTCATTCCCTGGTATTCGGAGAGGTCAATCTCGTTATGCACCACGCAGGCTCCTTAATCCAGCTGAAAGGAAGAAGGAAGAGGCCGCCAGAGCGGAACATCTACAGAATCAATACTCTATTATGAAAGCAGAACTTGAACAGATGAGAGCTGGGGATCCAACAGCAACCTATAAGTGGATGGAGGCTGCTGAAGATCTCATTGATGATTTTCGAGGCTTTAAAACTTTTTATCCTTGGGATAAATATGTCAAATTCTTGGGCTATACTCATGACGATAAATTTCAAGCGGAGACCAAACTGGAGACTGATTTAACGGAGATGGCTGATCGATTGTCAAAAAGTTAGTAAACACTTCCTAATATTTGACTCTATCTATAAATTACTGACTCTTTTAGAACTCGGAGCCGATGCTGAGGACCGAACTAGTGCTACTTCTGCTAGTATTCCAGCTGATTATCGGGGTATCTCGTTCAGTTCTTGGCTGGATATCTTTCTCGAGTACGCAATTTGTCTCGCGAAGGATGGGCATGACCGAGAGTCATATGAGATTTGCGAGTCCGCTAGGGACGCAATCGTCTTCTACCATAAGCGCGAGGACATGTTCTTGATCCATGTATGCTGGGGCAGTAAGTTGATAGGGTCTTGGGAAGTTAGCTTTTTACTAATTGTTATGCAGCTTGTGCTTTGCTCTGTAATGACGAGGAGATGTGTATCCGAGTGGCAAGATATTTCATGAGAGAATATCAATTCACCACAGATTCTTACAGAATGTATGCAGCCATAGCGAGGTTATGTCAATCTCCAGTCTCGTGGTATTGTTCGGGTCCCGAACAAAAGTATATGCTTCGCCAAGTCAAGGCCATGGATTTCAATCTCGTCGATAAAACTCGTCGTCAAAGAGGCTATGCAGAGAAAGCCGGCTACACGTCGCAGGACAAAGATGGAAAACCAATTCTTAATGATGATATGGACGTTGCTCTCCTAATGTTATACGGCCATATTCTTTACTCGGGAACAAGCTATGCATACTCTTTGAGTACTTCAACCCAAATTGATATTCTGGACAGATCATTCTGCTAACGAAATAAATCGTAGACTATTTCCTGAGAGCTTATGCACTTGATCCAAATAATGCTATCATCAATCTGAACATAGGCCTTGCTTATGTTCATCACTCGCTCAAGAGACAAGCAGATAACAGGCAATTCATGATCCTCCAAGGTCTGACGTTCCTTTTCGATTACTATAACTCACGCAAACAGTCAACCATTCTCGAAGAACGCCAGGAGGCACATTACAATCTGGCCAGAGTTTATCATATGCTTGGTGTCTCGCATCTTGCGATAAAATACTACCTTCGTGTACTGAAAGAGAACGATGGCCATGAGAGCTCACGAGAAGATATTGAAATTGATACTGCATACAATCTCAAAATTCTTTGTATGGTCACAGGTAATAAGAAATTGGCAAATGTCATAGCCAGGAAATGGCTTGTAATTTAGTCGATTGGATTTTCGCAAATCCTCTGTATGAATGGCACGAAGCGGGCCGGGCGGAAAAGGGGCGAATTAAATAATTTGAGTTTGTGAATCCCTCTTCCGGTCCCATTTTATAATCGGCAAAATGTAATCTAATTGGAGAATATCAGTTTTGCAGGACATTGATCAAGAAGCCCGAGGCCAGATTTAAGGCACTATTATAGTAGCCGCAGTGACCCTGCATAGATGCGCGAAGTGGGTTTTCGGGTTGAATGGAGAGTACTAAAATGGCTCGCGAGTCGTGAAACCACTTACATATATCAGCGCAAAACCTCCAACGGCAATAAATTTTAAACTTTATTCCACAAGCTGGTGAACAGACTCAACAGAATCTTTTTGAGAGTGCAGATTAATTCTCAAAATGTTGCTCAGACGTAATAACCGAGTCAAGCAGTGCATTTCTTCAATATTATTGAAAGACTAGGTGTCTTTTGGATGGAACATTTGATGGAAGCTTCGGGCGTATACGTCGGTTTCATCTCCCACCGCACTTGGTAACTGATTCTAGAATGCCATTTTGAATCCCGAACGAATTCTCCCATGATGACTAGTGATGTTTGATCGATTTTCTTTGAGCATCCCCACTGTTCTTGATGGTGGAAGGCAAGACCTTACAACATGATCTTAACCATCATGATTCCTTCCTTTCCTTTGTCACTCAACTGCTTTTCTTTTCTCTTACCCACACGGCAAAAGGCTTACGACCATCGTATTAATCTGAAGCCAACATAGCCTATTATACCACTGCAGATAGGTATAGGCCTTTTACATGTTGAAACACCTCAGGAGCACTAGCGTACTCTAGCTTCTTCAAGCGCTCTTGAAATCCTACCTACATGAAACAAGACAGCTCTTCGCCTTAGTAAAACGTGCTGTCTGATCTTTCTCGAAGGTTCAGAAACCCCAGATCATTAAGAGTACTTCCCCATTCAACAATATTTCAGGATTGTACTTTTGCTGAACATCAGCAGTATACCTACCTCCCTGCACATATAAATACAAACATATATATCTATGGCTTCTACAACAGCCGGGGCTGGTGAGGGCGCAGCTCCGCAGCTACCAGTGATAGAAATCGGCCAGAACCATAACGAAATCCCACCGGTTGTCAGCGATGCTGAAAAGAAAGAAGAAGGAAGACCTTTAACACCAGGTTCCAGTGCGAACGTCTCTCTCAATGAAGCAGTTGGAAGACCAGAACACACAAATGAGGCACCTAGCATCAACGTCATTGATCCGCACAATAATACCATTGAAGAGATACCAGCATACCTTCCGGCCGCAGCCGTAGACAACGGAAATGCCATCTTCAATGCTACACCAGCTCTCGCCTCAGATTCTGACAACGGAAGCAGCGCTCTCGCAGCTCCTCCAGCTTATGAAAAACTGGCACAGAAAAATCCGAAACCAACAGATCACCTCTCCATCACCATCGGTCCGGCTGTTATCCTCCTCTCCGATATCGTCTTCCCATGCATAATATACTACGTCTGGTTCGACATTCATCGCGCCCGCTGGGCCAAATCCTGCGAAGCATACCCCAAAAACGAATGTCCACTCGAAAAACCAGAATACGACAAAGACATTCTCGGCTATGCCATCATCTGTTTCGGATTCGGCGAACTCTACATCCTGATCGTGCGCGTCTTACGGCTTCTCAAGTATCGCGATCTCTGTGCTCCGCTGCTCTCAAGATCTAAATGGGAATTGGATGCCACGTCCTGGGTATATGGTGTTTCGATGCTGATGGCTCTCATCCCGTTTGTGGTGGGAAGCGAACTCGAGATTCCGGAGCTGTATCTCTATTCTCCGGGCTTCCTGATGAGTTTCCTCGGTATCGTCATGGTGATCTCCCTCATCCCGTTCAAGATTCCTATCGGGATTAATTCTCACGCGCGGGGCTCTCCCATGCGTCCATTTATATACTATGCGGCGGAAGATTTCATCGCGGTTGATGGTCTGCAAGACCGAGAGTTTCGAGTGCGATATAATGCACGATATGATTCTTCGCCGGGGTTTCGAAGAATGTTTTTACATCTGACGCTGTGGTGGATTTTTGGCGTCATGGTTTATCTGGGTAGTTTGAGCGCGGTCATTTGGTCGCTGGAATTTCATTATGCGTTTGGGTTGTCGTTGGGGGTGCTGTTTGCTTATTTGGCTATTTGGGCGACGACGAGTTATTTTTGGGTCGATCGAGTAATGAAGAAGGAACGGAGAGCGTATGAGGAGAGGGTGGCGAAATTTTGATGTATATATATAGGATCATGGGATTGAGGTTTAGATATTTGAATATTTGGATGTAGGGGAATGCGGGTACCGGTACACAAATAATCATTAGCGAATGAAACTTTCTTGAAAATTTGGAAATTCATAGATCTCGTTATAATAGAAGATACATTTTTTGGAACCTTTTCATCTTTTTTTTTTGGTGGAACTATTTACATGGTTTTGATATATACATATTAACAAGTGACAGCATGAAATTCCGTCATGGGGATATGCTCCTTGCCTCCAATCGTACGGCATTCGGGTATCTCCTCCAGCGACTCTCCCTGAGGATGGTACTCCGGAATATCCTCCAACGATCCTCCATTAGCGTGATATTCAGTACTCACCACCATCCTGTCCTTTTGATCCTCGGTCAATCCTATTTCTTCCTCCTCCAATCTCTTAGTAGACCTCGTCACGCGACTGTTTTGATACGCGTTTACATCTCCCCCTGAGTCGGTTCTTCTCCTAAGTACAATCTTCCCATTCTCATCCTGAGTTAAATGCATTCGATCCACGTCAACTCTCTTCTGATTTTCTAAATCATTTTCGTCATCTTTTACATCGCACCCTTGCAAGATCAGAGTCAGAGTTCGTCGGTTCGTACTCTTGTTTGATTTTCCCGGGCCGTAACTTTTGCCGTCCGCGCCGGATCCTAGCTTTTTGGAGGCGAGAGAGGTGTGCATGTCGTTTACGAGGGGTCGCATTAGCGGGATAGATTGCACGATTATGGTGCCAGCGACCTCGGCGGAATACCAGACCATGGACAGTCCTTGGCGCCCTGGTGGTTTGTTAGATTGGGGATGATCTGGTTGAAGTATGGGAGGGGCGTGGAGGTTGTATAAATATGAAGAGGGGAGGAAGTTGAAGAGGAGTGTAGAGATAATGTTTCTTCAAAACTTACAAAAATAGTAGTCATTATAGGCATCGACACTTGGATCCTTCATCCAAGCAGTTCTTATAGCTGAGATGATAGCGACCACAACCCCAAGACTCATCGTGATGCAAAGAGCGATCTTCTCTTTCAACGATATCCTCAATTTCCATGTGACCATCCATGGGAATAGAGCCAGCACAAAGTCCGCCACAATATTGAAGACTAGATGGGAAACGTTAGTGATCGACAATCTTATCATATGAATTTTGGCACCCACTATTTCCCCCAACCTTGATGTTAGCTGCTGCTTGGTAATCAACACAGAAACCAGGCATCCTCCACCAGTTCTGATATCCGGATTTACCACAGTATCTGGACCAATCCACAAAGACTTTGAGGACGAGGAAAACGTTGAGGATGATGAGGGTGGCTACGCATATTAATTTTTGCCATTTGTTTGTCATCCTTAGAAGAGTCACTGCAAATGCGGATTTGCTCCATGTTTGGCCGGCGGTAGTGAGGCAGGATGATATGGATACGAGAATCAACATTCGATCATTCCAAGTCTTGACGACATATCCGGTCGCAAATTCGTAGGATATAAAGATGTCGGTTGTTAGAAGAACCACCTAGTATACGATGGTTAGCTGGACGAAGTTCGTGACTCGATATTTCGGAAAAGTGTATTCACCCAGGAAAGTATCAGTATATAATCGTCCCACCAAAGGCCTTGTCTCCTCAGCTTGCACCAAAGTCGAAGAACCAGACATACAGTCGCACCGCCGAAAAGGGACCAGATGCCGGCATTGACCTCTCTCTCAGGGGATACAAAATGATGAACTGCGCGCGAAGAACTCATAATAATTCTAGTGGAATTTTCATCGTCATCCAAAGCCAGGGGAAGAGATGAAAAGTGATGGGCAAGATCCCACGTGTTGGTCAGATCTAGAATATTGTACGAATTGCGTAGGGCTAAGTGTTGAGGGACTGCGCGAGGTAGATACAAGTTTTCTAGAAATAAAACAATGGGAACGAAGGGCACGGTTCCATATCAACCCGGAGAATTTTTCGATCAATGGATACGAAAATACCAGGACCTAGGCACACCTTTGTAGATAGCTCTGGGGGAGAAGCAAGAAAGACGAATCTTGCCATGTGCAAAAGCAATGGCTTCTCCCGATATCCATCCAATTGGGTTTCTCTAAACTAAGTAGATGAAACTGTGATACTTATTGCAGGCCACAAAACGGAACTGTCCGCGCATTCAGAATCTCAGATGGCGTTCTTGTTTAGTCTGTTCTCCTCTTTCTTCTCCTCTCCCCCTTCTCTCTGGAGCGGATATCAGGTACCAAAGGTAGATCTAGACTAAGATTTTTATACACCCTGCTAGAGCTTGCAAGGTACCGATATGAGAAACGTGTCTTAGGGGCCAAGCACCTCGCTTGAATAGATTGGAGCCCCTCATCACTTTACCACATTTAGAAGTTCAATAATAATTAGTTCGCAAGGCCCAGTCGGATGTTGATTAAATTGTACCATACGAGGTACGTATAATAAACGAATCAGACAAGACAAGCGGCCATCGAAACACACAATAGTGGAATTATGCGTGTGGACATAAGAGAAGAGAAGATTATATAGCAATAAGCTTTCCTTTTGTTCCTGTAAATGGATTTCACAACATGGTTATTCCTTTTTGTGATGAAGAAAAAGGTGTCGTGATTACGAAATAAGGTTCTGGTGCTTCTAGTTTCGGAAAGTTGAGTGTTGTAGGCTGAGTAGCACCGGCAGTATTAGCAACTAATCGTAGCTAATCGCCACTAATTGTAGACTAATTCCTACAAGTCCAACTTGGTAATGGCAACCAAGACTTTTATCACACCATCATTCATTTTATATTTTCATGCCGGTTCTTGAAGGAGTTCGAACGAAGGAGCTACTGTAGAAGAGCAATGCCGTGTCACACCAAAGGACTTGTCCGATGAGATGGAAACATGGTAAAAGTTTAATTGGCGGAAAACTCCTACGCCCTGGGCCGTCGAAGGATTTGGTGATATCTCCGAAAGTACCTTGAGTAACAAATTTCAAATTTCAGGCTTTGCCGTCAGCTTTCAAGATTCTGACAGGTACACGGGCTTTGGGGCGTAAGGGAATGCAAACGCAGGCGAGGCAGGTACATAGTCCGACACCCCCAATGCGTCTGGAATTAGGAGTAGAAGAATATCCCTGATGTGTCTAAAATTGAATTACCAAGGTACATATTGGTACTTTTGAACAATAATAATATAGTCAAATTATGAAGTCATTTCACTGTCAATAATGTCAGCGCCACAATCTCACATTGTGACATTCTTTAAGGCATTGTCTGGCGGGGGACTCTCGGACCTCGATTAATCCGCTAGAGAGGATAGTTTGACTGTCACTCACTCCATTTTTGATTAATGGGTAAAAACCTAAATCGATTAAAAATGCCTCTTCCACATCATATCATTCATTCTTTAAACCTCAATCTATGCAGTACCGTAGATTCCTGAATGATGACTATTTATCCCAATGTGAGATCTATGGTGACTATCCAATTCATCAGGTAAACTTCTCATTGTCAAACACTTGCCCATTGATTCGACACCAAAGGTCAGGAAATTAGTCCAATCTCCTAGAAATAAGATGCTATCGTCTATGACATTATCGTCGTACGGTCTTGCAAATTATACTCACCGTCATCTATAATCTAATCAGTCTTGGTCCCCTTTTTTGAGTTTTGTAGATTGTACATTCGGAAAATATATCCGCACAAGACAGTGTCTTGAACAAAATTAGACATACAGTCGTAAATATAGATAACAAAGGCGCAGCATTATAAATGCACAATCAGCTGACTCTGGTATGGCTTAAAGATTCCCATTTTGCTAAATAAGCTTTCGCTGTGACTATCTGAGTGGTCTGGTTTCAAATATTGGAGTGGTTTGTTATCAGGAGTTTTCGGAATCGAGTAACTATCCGGCCGCAAAAGGGTCGACCGGGTCGGAAGATATAGCATCAAGCTAGATATACTCCTGCAATCAGTATCATTACAGCAGTTTTAGACGTTGTTGACTGCTGTATTCATGGGAACTTGGTCGTCTTATTCTAGCCCTCCTTTGCAACAGCTGTTCTTATGGTTGCAAACAACAGTATCTATAACTATGGAAAAGATACATATGAGCTGCCAAAACTGTGGCTCGTTTGCTCTTGAGGCCAGTTGTTACACTATGGAGGGTATATAAAACGTTGTGAGTTCATAGTCCCTAAGCCAGACTTCTCTTTTCTTTCGACTCATTGAATCAGTATCATACTCTTACAGCATGATCACCTGATCACCCATCGCCCCCTATCTTCCAGATTGTACCGCTTCTTTCATGTCGCTACATCTCTCCTCACATTACTCCTTGCAACCACATCGAGCACATATGGGGGAAACATTCCAAACAGTCTCAATAACGATGTTTTAAGGCTTAACTCTAACCTGCCCACTACTCATACTACAACCGGTTCCATCGAACGTAGAGATCGGACTTCCACAATATGGGGAACTGGCTGTAGTGGGTATTTCAGCACTGCAAGCATCGAAACTCGAGCTTTGTATGCGTCGGAGACATCTCCGTTCGCGAATGAGTTCCCCACCACCATAATTACGGACGCAATACCTAGCTACCCCATTGATAGCTAGTGACGACACTGTGACAGATGGCAATGATATCTCGTACTTACATCCCCAGCCCATGTACCTTCGACTTGGTTGTTGTAGCTACCATGACTGTTGGTGCCAGCTCTTCATCAACCAATAATCAGATTCTAAAGGCCGTGGGAAAGTTGACCCCAAGTATTGTGGGGATTCTACTATCTTTGCATATTTGGGTTTATGCTGAGCAGATCAACCCGGGGTATATGCACACAATCGTTACTTTTTATGGTTATGATTGTGCCTGGACACCACACATTTTGATCAACGGTTTGAATGTCTCTCCTTCCCCTTCCCTCGAAGATCTATCTGTTTGCGTCTTGAGTATTGGCGCCGCATGATTCTTGAGTCGTGGGACATGTTACTTTTGTTATGTTTGTCGTCATTTTGCGTTTGAAACATTGCTCCTCGTTCGCTAGGAGATTCATTCTCTATAAACTTTTTTCCGTGGTTCTTGACAATCACCACACGACAGAATTAACTTTAAATTTACCCACAGTCAAAATGTGACCCAAATGATCGTATGGTATCAATCAATTTGACCTCTCGCCCTTCTAGTCCTCAACTCGATTGCTCATATTTGCGCGCTCGCGAATATTCCTCTCTAATTTGACTTACTTCCCTAGCTCAAAAAAGGGTTATTGCACATCCGTGAAGGAAAAATTAGCAATAAGAATTCTCACTAAAAGAAGAAAACTTAGATATTCACCATCTTCAATAGTAAAGCTTTGTTGGGTCACCGGGGAGTCACGAATAAGTTCACCGGGAGCGCAAACACAGTACGGGACGGGACTCGACTCGACTCGAAATCGCGCTAAAATGTATCCCTGCCAAACGCGTCCCCCGCAATTCTCTGTCAACATCTTCAACTTCGATGCTACAAGGTTTTCCCACGCAGTAGAATTACCCTTCCCTACTTGTGGCATTACTTGATTATTTGTCTGTACTATTTATCTTTGAATTCTCTAACTTTCAGCTCGGTTTATTTAGATATCTTAACTAGCCATTGTTGTCTTTTCCTCACCGGCGCAAACTCATATCTACCACAGCCATGAGTGCCGCAGACACTGCTCTCCTCACAGAGCATTTGACATACAGACCAATTGTGAGTTATTGAGATATGATCATACCGATACTGCCCGATTGAAGTATTGTCTGTCGCTGACATCCTCGCAGGCCGTCATCGATGACATAATAAACAGTATCAACCTCCTCGCATTTCGAGCCATCGATGCGCTTGAAAAAGGTCTTTTCGCCGCTCCTCCCTCTTCAATTGGCTTCACACCCACTTCCACCCTCTCCGCCGAAGAAGTCGCAACACAATGTCAACACGAAATCGAAAATGGTGTCTACAAGTTGGAAACATTGCTCAACGCGAAGATTGATAAGAATTTCGATAAGATGGAAATATATTTGTTGAGAAACGTTTTTGCTGTGCCACCGGATGTCAGGGACTGGATTCGATTGAGCCATTATGAAGGATTGGATTTCAGGAGTGTAGAGGAAAATGGAGCGGGGGCGGATGGACTACCCACATCGGAAACGGTTACGCTGCAGAGGAAGAGGTTGAGGGAGACGATGAAACTGAATGCGGTTCTGAGGGCAGAGAAGGAGAGGAATGAAAGAACTATTGCGGCGTTGAAAGGAATAATATCGCAAAGTCAAAGTTCGCCTAAGAAAACTGTCAAGGCTGAGGATGGCACGGAGATGGAAGTCGATATTGAGGACGATGAGCGACCCTCATTGGCATTCTTGCAGAAGAAGGGTAATTTGACGAAAGATGGAAAACATCCTATTGCGACTACGACCGAATTCGCCTTGGCGCAATTGCCTGCGCTCAAACAGTTGTTGGATAATCTAGGACCAAGGTTGAAAGAGTTATCAGAAGGTGATGGCATGGCTGGAATGGTTGGGGAACAAGAGAAGAGTTGGAGAAGAGAAAGACTGGAATTCATTGAAAAGGAAACACGACGACATCTTGAAACCGTGCGAGGTTTGGAGTTAGGTTCGCAAGGTGAAGTGAGAGATGGGGAATGGCAGGGCGAGGGAAGGAAACTCGGGAACGGAGAAGTAGAAGATTTAGAAAAGGTTGTAGGGATGTTTGAGAGTCATGCTGCGCCACCAGAAAACGGAGAGGGAGACGGCGAGGGCGAGGGAGAGGGAGATGCAAATGCAGATGCGATGGACGAGGGAACGTAAATTCGACATTAAAAGCACAATTCGTGAGGTTGATATTGGCGTTTTAAGGATATACCCGAGGGTGGGCTGATCGATTGGCGATTCAAAGCGCGGATGAACATGTCCCTTATAAATATACAGCTATGCAATAGTCTAGCTTGAAACCTGAAATTGAATAAATAAGAGAAGGATCTAGCTCCTAGCTGGGAAGCATTACAGCGATATGCTCTACAAGTATGTAATTTTCGCTGATGAGTTGGATGTATTGCATTGCAGAACGCTTTACTCGAGCATTATTCTCCGAAACAAGGGAAGTACGAGCTCAACAAACTCAATAGGAGATTAGTCTTCATTAACTTGTATTATAAGCCACACCACTGCGCGTGATGTGATTACTCCCCACGCCTTCGCTGAATACATATCCGATGCAATATTATCAATCAATTGCCCTCTGTCCATGGACAACCTTCCCAAAAACGCCCCGCATATGCCATTACCAACACCCATAACGCAGACCAATATGATGCCTTCCAAAAGTCCCAACCCCATGCACTTCCTCAAGAATCACAGCAATCCATTCCAAATGGCCCCCACAAAAGCTTTCTGCGCACTCTCTTCTCGGTTTCCACTCTCGCTAGCCCAACTCTTGACTCCCTTCCCAATAGGTACCAAGCCTGGCTGAGCCGGTAACTCAATATTCGGTAATGCGGAATGGCCAAATGGTACGGTGTCGTAGGCGCCGGAGGATATGGTATCGTCACCGTTAATAGTACTACCGGAAACACAAGGCTGGCCTCTCCATACTACCGATTGAACCCTCATCCATAAGCCGGTGGTATCGTAGATATCATTTTTAGTATAGAATAAACGACAATTAGCAGCTTCGTATTGGAATTGCAGGGGTGCGAATGTTTCATCGTCGTCGTGCATGTTATTTCGAAGGTTGAAACGACCGCCGGACATCAGTCTTGATGTAGATCCGAGGGATGCGTTGGCTTTGATATTAGGGATATATTCGGGAGCTGGGTAGTCGGGCAATTCGAGTCCTTTTTGAAGATAGGCTGCTTGCGCGTCTGGTAGAGCTTCAAGATGAGATGCAACGCCATTGTAGGTCAGTACTTGGGCGCCTTTAGAACCGCACACTCCTTGTTGAGGACCTGTTTGTGGGCGACCTCCAACGGCAACTAAAGGATTATTAGCGGGAAGAATAAATTCAAGTGAAGGATTGACATACCACTTCGCACACCACCTTGAGCTTTCATCATCTCAGCGAAGAGAGCACATGTGGAGCCGCAACCGCCATCCATAAGCATCACAATGTTCGAGGCATTGAAGACCGCTGGGGGAGGGTTGCTCTCGTCTAGGTAGCCTGTGACATTAATGCCTGCTGCTTGGGACTATGGAAATAGTCAGCGTGAAGTTAGTTCCGGTTGAGGAAATGGCCTACCATCGTGACGTGATCCGAAAGGTTGTAACGAAGTTCCGCAGTAAAGTTATCACCGTAAATCGGCGTGTTAGGGGCTTCCTGATTCCAACTTTGAAATGGTTGTCCATTGCCATCGAGTTCTGATTGTGTCTGAAAAAGGTAATCATGACTGGTATCGTAATTTCCGGCACCAGTGAATATGGTACCCATATAATTTACCAGCGGGGTGGCTCGGTATCGTGATGCACCAAATGGAACTAAGGATGGGAAAATCTGTTTGAAAGCATCATATCCGCTGAACAGATAGCCGCCTCCGTTTGCTTGTACGTCTACGATCAAGTATTCCATTTTGGCCTTCTGACATTCAGCCAAGAACTCACTGATCACTCTTTGTTGTTCGACTGCTGCTTTACCATCTTTTTGATAAGGGTCGTTGAACCCCTGCATTACTAAAACTGCAGTCATGGTATCTTCTAAAAAGTAACCGCTTGTATAGCCGTCTGGATGCATGACGATCGGTTGGGGATAGCCGTTAAGTGATGTAATTGATCTTGCTGCTGTCTTAGTTCTGGTGCTCTGTTGACTGTCTGAGACTGAGGAACTTGAAGATGCTGGTTCTGATTCCGGTAGATCTACAGCGTTGAATAGATCTTGTCCCGATGATATGGATGTGAAATCGAGGCTTGTTGATGCATATATTTCGGCGTTTGTGCTGGTTCCATTGGCGAAAGTATATTGAATAACATCGGCCGAAAATCCATAAATATATGCTCCAGAAGTAAACATTCCACTGCCTCCGGAAAAGGCCAGACTCGGTAACGAATAAAACATTTGGTTGTAGTTGGCATCGTTGTCTTGATAAACACTTGTGCTCTGACTGAGAAATTCAAGATATAAAGTGGCATTCAGGTCGTTGACTTTGACCAGTGGTGATGCTGTCCAATTACCTGTTTTGGATAGTGTCATGTTGTTCTGCTTGTCAAGATCATCTTTGCAAGGTTAGCTCTTAGACCATGATCAACTAAGTTGAGAAATCTGTACGTACATTTAAAATATATCTCTGGCATTGCTAAGCCGTCGGATGATATTGATACCAATGGACCATCTGCAGTAGAAAAGGAGAAGACGCTCATCAAGGGAAGAGGTAAGTTGACGTGAAAATCGTGAGGCAATATGTTCCCTAGAGCATGAAGATCCTTTTCAAACTCCCATTGGTTTGTATAATACCCTGAATTGACATTTTCTTTAATCTCAGCTAGACCTCCTAGCATATCAGCGCCAGGTAACGGGTAGCCTGATGGAGGATCTTTGAGATAGGCAAGAGTACTCTGGAACTGCCAGAATGGCTCTATATAATCAACAAAATCTGATGAGCGCTGTACATCTAGTGGTACAGATTGAAGGCACTGAAGAGCAATGGAAGCGTTGAATCGTTGTGTGCTTGCTAGATGATCACATTAGTCACCACTTGCCACTTGTAAGTATGCGAAATTTGTATTACCTGTTGGATGACCATGATTATGTGACTTGATGACATCGGAAACTGCTCCACAACCATCTGCTGTCGCCGCTGTTACTGAGTTTAGCAAGACACTTGTAGATACCAAGGCCAACAGCCTTAGTCTATGATTTTTCGAAAACATTTCAGACAAATTTAGATTGATTCTGTGTAGAGACAAGGCGGAGAAGAAAAGAGAAGGGGATCAAGACAAATAAAGGGTATGGCTCACGAAAACAATTATAAGCAGTGCTTATTGTCTTCGTCTTCCTATTCTTTTTTGAAACTACAAATCCTAAACGGAGTTGAAATATGCTGGACTGATTAGGTAACGTGCTTCCTTTAAGTGGCACAGTATTGAAGCGAAATGAGTATATTGCTTTATTTGGAGCCGTGGCTTACAACCTTATTGAACCGAACAGAAAAAGCCCATACAAAAGGAAAACAATCAATTTGAGTAGTGCCAGCTCACTGAGGCGTATGGCATATAACAATGCAACTGTGCCATCAGCACACGCGTTGCCCCCATTAAATAGAAAAGTGAATACGATTTACCAATCAAACTCTGAATCCTCACTGTTGGGAATAATAATTCAGTGAATCTCTCTTTGATCAAACAACATAATTCGCAAGACTATTTGCGGGCTATGTAGCAAAAATGAGATCTCCCTATCGATGACTAGTGAATCGAAAGGGCTAGAATAAGATATTGATATTGATGCGCGACTTCGACCGCGCAGTACTTACGCGCAGATTGATATACCACTTGTTGCGACAGCTCGAGTGTGAGAAGATGCTACAAATAAATGTTCAAACATTTTTGTATCATGAAGCCATTGTCTTATGACATCTTTCTTTCGTTAGAAGAACATGATTTGCTATCAACCACATCGCTACATGGCATTACTTCTCACAACTGCTAATCTTTCAACATACTGCTTGCTATACAGTTCGAAATGAAGATGAAGAACAATATCTGCGGATGCAGGCGATCAGATCATACTCGGAAAGATGCTCATAGATAGTTGAACTTCTCGAACAGATGCGATGGTAGTCAATTATAGATAGACGTCGCACATGGAAATATGAGACGAGCGATGTATCACGTGATTTGGCACGTATAAGGTAACCTTGCTTACTTAGGTAGGTAACCTTAACTTTCAATTGTAGAAGAGTCCCGAGGGTGTCACCTTCTATATTAGAGCGTTCTGAAGCTCACCGACATTTGATACAACAGACAGAGGAAGCTCCTCACGCGCCGCATTGAGAAAAGGCCTAGAATTGTACATTATGGCTATAAATCATCAATTCATTGTTGCTGCGATTTGCCTTGCCTTGAGAGTTTAATTTCAACATTCACCCCACCGGCTCATCTACTTGATATCTCTGTTATCCGGGGTAGGACAACCACCTTTCAGGTAGACCAAAGCTACACGAATACGACCTCCTTCCAGGCAGTTGGCTCCCTCTTAACTCTTCACGTGGCAGGGCTGACCGGAGTTCCTCATGAAGCTAATCAATCCAAGTATAGGTTGAAAGCATGAGAAAGTGGCCTAATTCAAGTGAGCTTAACTTATCACTCCTTTTACTTCCTCAAATTCTCCATTAAGCTATCCACTTTCGTCGGGACGTCTGGATCCTATGCTGCTTAAGCTTATTCGAGCTGTCATTCTGATGCATGTTTGCGTGATCGGCAACGCAATGTTCGGGTCTCAATTAGACTTGGTACATCTATATGACAAAATAAGTGAGGTCTGACAGCCACAGCATACGATTGAGAACCTCGATTTCACACAATATGTTTGAGAACTATTTCTAGAAGGTTCCAATTCAGCATCTATAGATCCCAATCGAATCAATGGTGGAGTAACTATTTGGCCGCCCTAGATATGACATACTCATTATTGGTAAAGCTGATGTAACACCCCTGAAGTTGCATGACTTTCTGCAGAGGTGAAGTCGTATTACATCTACACCACCTCTGTGCATGATCGCTACTCACCGTTGCGCTCACTTTTCCTTCATCTACGACCGCCGAGTCACCGCTTTTACAGAGAAGTACTGCAATTCGTGGGTTTGGGTCGAAAGATCCCTCTGGTATAACCTGATTCTGATATCCATGGGGTCTAAGCCTCAACGACAGATGCATCGAAAACATACTAGGTCGTACGCTCAACCTGTGAGACTTCTTCATCAGTACGTTGAAAGAGCACTAAAGGTGCGAACTTGGTTCTTCGGCGCGTACCGGTAGCTTATAAAATGCAGGGTCTCGGCGGAAAAGAGTGACCCTGGATGCAAACTATCATCTCTCAGGAGTCATTATGAGTACCAGCTATATGTTAACCAAACAAAAAAGCTCGGAATAGCAAGGCCTGGGTGCATTGTGACGGCGATTCCGAGTACGAGAATTGGAGGTGATTTGAAACAGGCAATGATGAACACTATGTTAAGATAACAGCAGGCAAGTGGGACAATTTGCTGATCGCATATTTCAGGTATCATATAACGTTTAAAGAATACCTCCAATAGTAAAGTCTGGTTGAGAACCAGTAGAAGGGCCGAAAGTGTAATGTATACCAAGCTCACGAACTCTGCAGCCCTACCATAGGGCTGCAGCTGTGCATCTCCACCAGGAACTCCTAAACACATGACTACAATCCCATGCGGTGCGACGCATATATCGAGCTCGTTCCAATGGGAAGCTTTGTATTGAAAGTCTATAAAGCCATTACTGTGCCTGACCTGAATGACAAGGAACTCAGCCTCTAAAGCCATGCTACTCCCCCTGGAATCGGTCAACGGTTTTGTGTTCCTTTTAACAGATCCCCTCAGAGTCATTTTAACTCTTTGAAACTACATCCATTGTTCGACATCATACCTCGGCTCTTTATCATGGAGCCTAGAAGAGACCTAATTGCTTGCGGAGATTCAACACTCGTATATCGTAAGAGTCACGTCTATAACGGTGGAAGTCATCATAGTCATGGCAGCCTTCGTCTTCAGCTACAATAATGAGGCGAAGACTCGAAGGATCATTGTTCTCCAAGGCACCCTTCTCTCTTGCTGGATTTATGTTGACTGATGCAGATTTATGCTATATAAGATGCCAATGATCGGCGAAAGTCATCTCCTCTACAAATTGCAGATCGTACCCTCTTCAATCCTCTTTTCAGATTACACCTCTCAATAACCTTGACAATTCGATCAATATCGCTATCATACCTCATAAATCCTCATCTGCCCCACAGCATCATCACGATTATCGTTGAGCCACAAATCTGAGATCATGTGTTACGTACTCGTCGAACGATATTCTGTTTGCAGATGTACCTACTACACCCACGCGATCGACATGTGTCCCGCATACAGAACACCGGGTCATTATGTCGAAGAAAGAACGTTACTCGTCGGATACACTTGCAATTTGCATTCATCATCCCACTAGAATGAAACTGCTGACCTGCTTCTTGCGGTTCATGTTGTAGTGTTGTGTCGCGGATTTGAGTTTCGGCAAAACACTAAGTCGAGCTCTTACAGATCTTGATATATGTCTCAAAATGTGCAACATGTTTTCAGTTATTCGATAACTAACTTGTTTGGCGCATGGTCTTGCTTTAGAAATGGAAGCTTGACCGCTTGGGGTTCTGGGTATGGGATTTCTTTGGGATTGGAATGGGATTAGCTTTGGGATTTTGCATGAGGTATGGTCTGGATCATTGTATCTTCAACGTTGCTGGTCAACGCATTGGGAGTTAAAGAATTGGCAGCTACTATGTTAGATGAGCGATACATTATATTAAGGTTGTTTTTCGGGTTTAGATTTTTACATTACCAGTGCGAAGTGGCTGGGCACTTTAACGGCGACAAGGGTTTATGGATTGAGGAATTGGGATATGATTGGGGGTTATACTTTTAAAAAAGCGGTTTAGATTTACTATGGAATTGTCATCTTTTATCATGCATTTCTTATAAAAATACGTCGCCACTTCCTTCAGTATCCAACAGAAAGGAGACAAAAGTAACTATACAAAATGTCTGTTCAAACTTCATCTAGAGCTCACCCAACAAGAACAATCAGGATACCAAACCCCACTTTAACACCCCCTAATCACATTTCTCCTTGTCTAAAAGCCATTGAATGGAGTCGAATCTCCATTCCAGAACCTTCCAGGCAGTCCCCATCCGCCGTATGAAGCGGATCACATCAGCCTTGCATTCGCCATCAGAAACAACCGTAACAAGCGTACCTCCCAATCCCAAAACTTGTATTCCCCAGGATCAAAAGTAGATGATTGGAAGCTGAGTCAGGATACCTGCTTGCTTACGTAGATGTGATGACCCCGCTACTTTATCTGATTCGCAGATGTACGTTGGGATATTGGGCGTGACGACCAATGATTTTTGAGAAGGGGAAAATTGCTACAAATACCTAGGTAGAATAGGTATGGATAGAATTTTTGTGTGGCTAAGTTGAGCATGGGAAGAGGAAATGCACGAAGAGAAGTTGGGGCTGAGTTGGAGATTATGTGGATAGTCTTTTCTGGTACGTACGTGATTTGTTGTGCGGTGGATTGATGACCGTGGAGGGTTGGATGGGATGGGATTGTCATTCGTCTACCGTGGCGGATGGAGATGCGTGGATTTCTCGTGTTTGACTGTGGCGGAGATGCAGATGTAATGGAATAGGGAGAGAACATAGGTAGGTTGATGAGTAAGGTTGCTGGATGGGTATTTGGAGGGTGGTAGCTTGTAGGTATGTAAATGAGAATGAGGATGAGAGTACGAAGCGAGAGTGCCCCTTCTGATGGAACTCGGTGGCTTGTGGAGACTCGAGAGAATAATTCGGACGGTGTGGTTTGGTTTGGTCTAGGAGATGGATTGTATGTTGCTTTATGAAGATATTTCTTATCTTATATCGAGATTATCAGTCCTGTCACTACCATAGATATTGCCAGAGTATTTCTATTACTCAACGAAGTTGCTTACACTCAACCACTAGATGGATGGCGATTTTCCATCTTCAAATTGAAGATGAAGATGATAATTAGGTCATATATCAATACCTCCGCACCAACATTTTCAACTCCGCACACCATAAAATCACACGGCGTAATTCCTATCTAGTAAACCCTACTTTGCTTATTACAAGACCATCTAATCTCAGAAGTATAACGACTCAAGAGTCGCGCGCATGCAAGATGCTTACCCTGCATGACTCCATGCAGCCCTACTCAGGCCCGGAGTAACAAGATTCCACATCTAGAATCACTTATGTATCTACCTATCTACCTCCAGATGTAAGACAAAGTATCCAACATATGGAATCTGGATAGCCAACGAAGAATTCAGAACCAAGCAACCACTCGACCTTCCCCTAGTGACATTCATCCATCCCAACTTCCAATCTAGTAGTATAACCACACTCCCCCGCCAACTTACAAATCAAAGCATCTCCAATGTTCAGAAGCGGCTTATTCTCACATCCATACTACGGGATAGTGTAGTATAGTATAACACAACAATAGAACCCCATCACGGCGGAATTAACACCCTAACAATCTTCAATCTTCAATCTTCAAATGTCGAAAATCCTCGCAAACTCAATAGATATATATATACATCACTCACGTATCATTATCAATAATCCTACCTCTCAACCCCCTTTATCAAAAACAGTACCGCGTACCTGCTAGGTAACTTGCAGATACGCCATGTTACATCATGTCATCGTGCTATTGAATCTCACTTGCAGATGTGCGCTAGGAAAACAGAGCCAGTAATATAAACGCTCTCGTTCCTCGGTGCTGTACCTGTGAGAAGATTGTTAGGTCGTGTATCTATGCGTTGGAATTTAAGAGTTGAGAGCGGAATCCCGGATGTATTTTTTTAAATCAAAAAACAGGATTCATACATATAATACTAAGTGTTACTGAGTAGATATTGGAAAATTAGAAAGCTAGCTGTGATCGTTCGAACGGATTATCGAGGACCTGATAATTAATTATTTAATCTAGATCTGGAAGTTGATCTATACTTAATTTCGAAGTTCCAATGAAGAAGTTTTCGAAATGATTGAAGACGACCTACAATTAACATCCCCTGACCTAAGCGACGCTTTCGGAATGTTGCCAGCCACGCCCAAATATTTTCTCCTAATTGTGCATAATAGGTAAGACATGATTGATTATCTGTTCCTCGAAGTATATTTTCAACGTTTTCAGATTCGGATGGTATCTATTTGCATCGATTCCCTAAATATCGAGAGAAATCAATGATGAGAACGATAATTTATTGCTGCAAACCATCACAAATACGCACGAAGAAAAAAAAGGAAAAGTAAAAAAGTACTTCGGAAACTGAAATTAGAGTTCCATGAAGTCTTTCCCTCCACACAATCCTTCAAACATGAATCTAACCTTCGCAAAACCATTCCACCGCACCAATAATCCCGAATGGCGAGACAAACAGCAACAACAACAGCAACCCACCCTACAGCTCCATCTCCCTCATCCAAATACACCCACTCTTCAAGCTTGCCACCCCTAACCCCTCACTCCCGCTTACCCCCCAAAGCTCCCCAACCCCAACGCGCAAAAATTATCCTCGGGTTCTCCGGTATCGGCAAAACGCACCTAGCCGCGCGCGCGAATCGAGAATTCGAATGGCTGCACGTAATCGACTATTCTCTCGAGCGACACCATCTCGATTTCAGCTGCGACTACCAGGCCGAGTATCTACAGACGATATCTGCTGCGGTGTCGCAGCCGGGGGTATTATTACTTGGGGGACCGCGGTGGGTGGGAGAGTTTCTGGTGAGGAATGAGTGGGCGTTTAGTAGTGTGTTTCCGAGGGTGGAGTGTAGGGAGGAGTATGCGGTGAGGTGGGATCAGATGGGAGAGGAGGAGGGATTGGTTGCGCATCGGTTGGTGGCGTGGGAGGATGCGGTTAGGGATATGTGGTGGGGAGAGGGGAGGTGTAATCATTTTGAATTGGGTGCGGGGGTTTATTTGGAAGATATTTTTATGGATGTTTTGACGGCAGCGGATCATGTAGAAGGATTTAGGGATGGGGAGAATAAGAATGAGAATGAGGGGTTGGAAGAGGTGTGGTATGATGCGCACGAGGCGTTGGAATCACCATCCTCTTCTGTGAGACGGAAAAGATCACGTACTGAGAAGGATGCAATGCGACAAATCGTCCAAAGTCTCAAGTCTCGCCAATCCTCCCGAATTCGATCTTTCCTCAATCACATTTTTCTGATACTTCAGTTTATTTTCCTCTGTATCCTTGCCACGCTCATCCTACTAGCATACAAAGAATGGAATCTTTGGCAATCGAGAAACAAACCAAATCTTCCTACCATTGGGGAGTTTTCCGGTCTGAGTAGGATGCACAGTATGTTCAATCACTGGTTTCTTCCAGACTGTATATCGGCAATTTTGCCAAACTCGCGAAAAACGTGGTTGGGCACTTCTGATTTTCGGGAAGAACTTGTGATGTTGGTTCAGAAGTGGTTAGACTTGGAAGAATCTTTGTTGGGTTCTTAATAGGGACGTCGTGGGCTGTATATAGGTACCGATGAAACGTATATATGTTTGCGAGAAGATAGTTTTCGTAAGGTATACTATTTATTATATTGCCCTCCAAGTACTCCCTAACCGTGATTGCTTAGGACCAAGTGAATAAACATCGATCATGCAGTTATCTTAGTATACATAGGTATGTCGATGCTCTCTTTGTAAGATTTGCACGAACTTGCATAGATCATCCTCGGGCAATGTGGTCGAGCATTGTTGTGTAAATAAGCTTGACATTGTTTTTTATTTATACGGCAGATTTGATGACTCAATGTATGGCAAACCCGGTGAATGGGTGTCACTCGTCATTCTAAAAGGCTGCCAAAAACATCACGTTTGTACTAAGAACAAAAACAAGATATTGCTGAAATGTTCTTGCAAAGGGACAAGATTGGAAAAGCACACAAATGGTGAATTGCCATAGGCCTCTTCATAGGCCTGTGTTATATTGATGGGTCACTACAGACATTTGTAGAATCCTTCGTACGAACGACTTTTCTCAGACCTTTGGATCTTATGCTGGCTACCATCTTGCTATAACTCTTCCTAAAGCCTGCCTTTGCTGTTCTTCTCATTTTACCACGGCTCGACAGCAACGTTCATTTTTGATACTAGTCGTGAAGTAACACATGGTGTAAGACTCAATGATCTCTGAGAGATCATTCGGAGCTATGAATGTGGTATAAACAGGCGAAAGATTATGACATCTCCCCATTTAGTACCGGGTTTGAATGTAGCGAATAACATGTTTCCAGATAGCTATCTTGCTGAGATTGTTCAACGAGCACCAAATAAATCTGTAATACTCAATCTCCTCCCTCCTTGAGCTTCTACTTGGCTGGTTGGAATTTGGGTCTGAGGTCCTTGCGACTCTGAATTTCCATGGTTCTCCACCATACTCTCCATCGTTTGCACGTCAAGCATGGTAGCTTGTGTCTTCTTCCAATTCTTAAGAATTTCCGATTGATTCGCAACTCTCGTACCCGTCTCATCATCATGAATGTATATACCATAAGCCTTCGCAACAGGAGTACCTCCAACCGTCTCTGACTTTTCAACCGTCCAATATAAATACTCCCCATTAATCTCCACATTATTCATTTCGCTGAAATCGTGAATGATATTATTAAGGCCCTTGCGATTGAGAACCACAATGCAGTGGTCTTCAGCACCGGTGGTGGGGGAAGGTAAAAGCTCGCAGACGAACAATGTACCTTCGATAGGAAGTTTCTCCCAAGTTTTCGACTCTAGAGAAAACATGTACATAGTGGCAGATGCGGCGAGTGAAGTGATCTTTTTGATGGATGGATGATAACGTCTGAGGACGGATAGATTGAGTTCTTCGTTGGTGCGAGTAGGAGGTGCGGGACCTAGTATTGGTGTCTCGGTATCATAGTCGGAAGCTTGAACTTGGCTTAACTGAGAGGGTCCTGGATGGTTTTGACGCTGACGAGGCTTTCGAGGCGTCATTTTGACGGCTTTGGACTTGAGATGTGGTAGAGTATAGGCCAAGTACGTAGCTATTCTATGAAAGTTTACCGTTTGTTGGCGATCAAGTGGTTGATGTCGTGGATTTGTTGCTGCGCAAGTGGTGAGATGAAGTTGCGAGGCAGTTAGATGGATAGATGGATAAGTTGATCTAACCGGTATGGAATACTTAATACAGTTCTGAATCGGCGTTTGCAATGCAAAAAATGGCCGTATTGTGAATGACGTTTATTAATGTGTTATGGGATGGGAAGATGTAGGTCTGTATTGTATTGTCATGAAGGAAGAAGGATTTCAGCCTCGCGGTAATAGATGGGGAAATGTGAAATGTGAAATGTACCTACCTACCTTACCTTATTTTAGCACCCTAGCCTGTACGTTTGATTGTGATGATGACTGGACAGTGGACACCCGAACACCCGAGCACCTAAACACCTAAACACCTAAACACCTAAACACCTGACCACACTAAAATCTAAACGGTCAAGGGGTACAGGTGGACAACAAGTGGCCCCCGGGGCTTTTATTACTTCTAAAACTACCCCCACCAGCAAGCACTTAATCACCATTGGCATCATTAATAGTACCATTAGCACTGTTAGCAAGCACTATTAGTACCACATTTACAGTGACTTTAGGTTCGGTCCGTACAATAATAGAAAAGTCTGCTTACTAGGTAGATAGTTGGATAGTTGTATAGTTGGATAGTTGGATAGTAGGGTAGTTGGGTAGTTCTGTAGTTATGTTATTAGGGTGTTTTCATCCTTTACATGATTACCTGGTACATCAACTGGCATTCGTTCTCTCACACACTCATTCATTCATTCATTCATTCATTTGAAATACTCACACACCTTTCTGTTCTTCTAACTGCGAATCTGTTTTGTCTTCAATTACTACATCGTAGACGCTCTTTTGATTTTCTTCTTGAGATACCATACCACCCCCGGTGAGCTTTCAGCCTACGTCATTCAATCCCGCGTATTTAAAGAACAAAAGGAAAAAGCAAGACACCGAAGAAGCAGAAATTCGAGCACGACCTTCGAAAAAGAGTAAAAGGAAAATAGGCTGCGCAAAGTCAACATGTTGTGAAATTTTGATTTGACTTTTATCACCGAACAAACCGTTGTAAAACTTCAAGGATGGCCCCGAACACGAGAGATTCGATAGATGAGGAACCTGTCGAAGTCGAATTGCCTATGACCTCCAGTCCACAATCCCTCTCGAAAGCCGTCTATGCGCGACGAAACGAATATACTCGACCGCATAAAATCAAAATAAAGATTGGGAGCTGGAATGTTGCTGCTTGTCCTGCAACCGAGAAAGATCTCGCAGGTTGGTTTGTGCAAGGCAAAGGCATTGACAAACGACTAGCTGGGCTTGATATAGCCAATGCGATTGAGAAGGAGAATAGCCAATCGAATATAGAAAGTGTCGAGGAACAAGAATCAAGGAGGAAGAAGAAAGAGTCGACAATCCCGCTTGGCGATGGAGGTATAATTGCTGGCGGAGAAGATGTCGGATTGTATGTTTTGGGATTACAAGAAGTTGTTCAGCTCACGTCTGCGAAGGAATATATTGGCAAAGTTTATTCGAATGATAATCCTGTAACCATATGGAGGAAAGCACTTTCTGGGGCTTTGCCAGAAGGTTACACTTTAGTCGCCGAACAACAGCTCTCTGGTCTACTCATGTTCATCTACGCATCCCCAACTGTTGCACCTACGATAAGTTCTGTCAGCACCGTCAGTATTGGGACTGGATTCATGGGGTATCTAGGGAACAAAGGTGCAATCACTACTAGGATAGTACTGGGAGAAACAACTCGACTTGTATTCGTAAATTCACATTTGGCTTCGGGAACGGATAAAGCGCATTTGGAAAGGCGAATCTGGGATGTCTCACAAATATTGCAAAGAACGCATTTTGACCCTATAAGCCGAGGTGGAGTTCTAGATGATGCTCAGGAGAGCATCGGTGATGAAGATTTTGCTTTCTGGTTTGGAGATCTGAACTTCAGATTGGAGGGGTTACCGGGAGACGATATTCGACGCTTGTTGATGCTTCATACGAAGGGAGAATATGACGTTGGGTCGCGATCAAGAAAGAAGATTGATAACGAAATTGATGCTGGTGACGGACCGATTGTAATCAGGTCTATTGATAGTGATGACGAGTCTGAGGAAGAGTTTCGTAAAAGCAGTAGCACGTTTGACCCGAACGACGATTCTTCTACTGTAACTACGCTTCCCGATCCAGACGATTTCATACAAGATCCAAGCCAAGATCCTGCCTCATTACAAGCTACCATTGATTCATTGTTACCACATGACCAATTGAGGCATGTCCAGAAAGCTCGAAGGGCGTTTCACGATGGCTGGAGAGAAGGACCAGTAACATTCCTTCCAACCTATAAATACGACGTAGGGAGCATGGGAATTTTTGATTCTAGTGAGAAAAAAAGGGCACCAAGTTGGTGTGATAGAATTTTATTCAGAACACGGAGAGACAAATTGGTGTTTGATAACAAGATGAAGGAAGAGGCATTGGCAAGAGTAAAAGATGAAGAAATGAAGGCCCAAGGAATGGATCATGCCACCGATGATGAAGATGTCCTTTTCAGTTATGACCCAGACGAAGATGGGGAGCAACAGGCCACGCCTTCCAAGAGCGACGATTATGATGAGTACGACGAATACGATGAAACAGAAGACAATGAAAATGCACCGGTAATAACTAGGGATGGATTCGTGGATCGAATAAATTTGGATATTTATACCTCACATCAACGAGTTCTCTCATCAGATCACAAACCACTCGATGCTGTTTTTACCTTGGAATATGACGCAGTCGTCCCCGAACTAAAGTCAAAAGTACAGCAAGAGGTTGCTAGAGACCTTGATCGAGCGGAGAATGAAGCTCGCCCTGGAATAACCATTGTTATAGATCATTCACAGAACACAGAGGAAAGTCATCAAAATGATAAATCTCGCAAGAATTCCAATGACGGAAATGGAGCTGTTGATTTTGGTGATGTGGAATTCGAGCACCGAAAATCTAGAAACATCACAATTGCAAATACGAGTCAAGTCACATCTACATTTGCATTCGTTGATAGACCTGGTGTTGAAGGCCAAGAGGACAGAATTGCACCGTCGTGGCTCAGTGTGTGGTTTGCAGGATTTTCTATGGATGAAGATGATAGAGCCTTACAAGATCTTAAAAGGGAGGTTACACTGGAACCTGGGGATGCAATCAATGTCACACTTGAGGTTTTAGTACACGATCCTTCCTCTGTAACGTCATTGAACAATGGGGACGTCCTACTCGAAGATGTATTGGTACTACGAGTTACAGATGGAAGAGATCACTTTATTCCAATCAAAGGAAACTGGCTCCAATCTTGTTTAGGACGGTCTATTGAAGAGCTCATTCATATACCAGAAGGTGGTGTGCGAGCTTTATTACCCCGTCCAAGAGGCCAACCCGGACCTCCGGTCAATAGAGGTCAGGAAGTGACTTGGTCTGCCCCTCGAGAATTGCTTAAACTCACACAAGTCGTCGATTCTCTCACCGATCGTGTCGTGGCTGATTCAAACATGTTGGAAGGAGCAATGATACCTAGAGATTCTCCCGGTTGGCCATTCGATGAGAAGACATGGCGTTACAAAGATCAACCTACTAGGATCGCTCTGAAAAGTCAAGTATTAACAGCTCTCGACGCCGATCAAAGTATATATGATATATTCCCCGTCGAAATTCCAGCCGCGCATCGACTCGAAATCGTAGCAGAAGTTCTCATCCTCTTCTTACGCAGTCTCACCGATGGCATTATTCCCGTACCTCTATGCGAGCAAATCGACTCCGATATCACATCTCGAGTAAACACCCAATCGGACGTCGAAGAAACAAAAGCGTGGCTACTAGATATTCTCTCGTTGCCGCACCACAATATCTCTTTCGTCTTCCTCACCTCAACACTCTCCCGTGTAGCCGGAGAACTAGCACCAATACCCAAAGTAAGACGCTCCCTCGACACGGCTGTTCGCATCGGATTCGATTCCGTAAAGAGAACGCTTAGTTGGAAGGGGAGAGCAGCGCCGCTTCCGGAAGATCCGGCAGCAGTGAGGAGGAGAGAAGTTAATAGGGCGTTTGCGGACGTGTTTGTGGGGATAGTTTTTAAGGGGAGTGTAGGTGTGAAAGAGAGGAATAAGAGAGTGGTGGAGGAGAAGAGGAGAGATGTTCTAGAAGCGTTTTTGAAGGGGTTTTCGCGTTGAGGGAATCCTTGGGATAGGAGAGGAGGTCTGTCGTCTTTTTTTTCTCTCTAAATAAGAGCTAGCGAGCGGGTGGTTATGAATGAATGAATTTTTCCATTGTTATTTTTTTTTTTTGGCAGGATAGATTCGGAGGGAGGTCATTATTGTTGGGGTTTGGAGGGAAGGAATCGGATAGATGGATGGGTGGTGGGTGGCACAGCTTGGAAATGTTATCTAGATATGCGTATGTAACTGTCTAGGAAGTAATGCCTATAAATAAATTATGAATCCATGTTCCTCTACACGTGTATATTGCTATCAGTATCACAACAACACAAAAAAGCTGTCTTATTACATGCCATTACATAGATAAGTGAGAAAGTATTTAAATTTTAAAACGTATATTATATTCCATTAATCATTAAATGACCCCCTAATCCCCAGAAACGAAGTAAAAGGTATCTTTTAAAAATTAATAAATGCTGAAAACATCCGTCCCATTATCATATTGCACACCACACACATCCACAAAAGAGCCCACCACTTCCGCTCTCTCGCTCAACCAGTCCTGAACATCTTCCTCCTTGCAACTTGTTCCTGGGCCCCCGGTACAGGTAACCAAATCCTGTGGACTGTTGTTTACCAAGACGCGGTAGTAGGTTCCGGCGTCGTAACCAAAGCTATCGCATTCCATCTTCTCGATGGCGATGTTGGTGAGGAAGGGGAGGATGGCGCTGGATTTCCAAGCGCGGTTGTAGTTGATGGTGTTGAGGGGCATGGTGCCGTTGATATTGTTGGCGCCGGAGTAGGCGGAGTTGTTGAAGAGACCGAGGGCGACGATGACGGTAGGAGGCAGTTCGCGGTGGGTGAAGGATATGTAGAGATCTTGGTCTGTGGTGGCGTTTGAGGCGTTGTTTTGTTCCGTCATGAGTGTGTTGAAGGTGGCGTTGACCCAGGGGAATCCGATGGCGCCTGAGGCTTCGTGTCCGTATCCGGTGTTGTAGAAGTATTGGATGTCGTTTGTGTATTCGAATCCGAGCCAATCGGTAGGGGAGAGGACGGAGAGATCGCAGAAGGGAGAGGAGCCGCGAATGACGGTTTCGTATCCGCAGAGAAGGGACATGCCGTAAACGTCGTTGGATGTGAAGTTGAAAGCGGGAGCCAAACTGTTGAAACGCGCGGTGACGGGTTTGGTGTAGACTTCTTGAAACTCGCCAGATTCCTCGCTTCCACCTGAGGAGCTGTATGCCGGGCAGGCCTTGTACGGGGTCAAGGAATTGGCGCTCGAGTTCTTTCCTTCGTATACTTGGACAACCTCAATATCCGAGGCATCGTCTGCAAGACCATTGGAGAAAGATTGCGCAGTCTTCACGGTTCTTTCTGCGGTGGACGTCCATATTTTATTTGGAGTTCTCAGGCTTTGATATCTCTGCGCGATATCCACACCCAAGTTTGTGGCCTCCAACTTGCCCGATCTAGTCAACATCTCGATTTCGGGATCGGTGATAGGAGCTTGCCATGTTGAGAGGAAGGAAAGACTTGGAATGCTCGCCCAGTTTACAGATGTGTTTGCGAGCTTCTGTACAAAAGGCTCAATGTACTCTTCGTAGTCGAAGTCATTGGCATAGATTGCAGCATGGCGAACAAGATATGCAGCGCGAGTTACGTTGCATCCTTGAGGAGGAGCAGGATCAGTAGGTGGATCTTGAGGATCGAATGGTGGTGCGGTTCCAGCTAGATGCTCCAATGGATCGAAAGAATAGGAATTGGGTGAATGAGAGACTACATGAGTAGCTTGGAGAGCGAGTGTGAGGAGAACTGAGGAACGCATCTTGAGACGGATGAGAGAAAAGAATTGTGCCCTACCAGTTCTGGTACCTTACCTTATATCCATCCATGATCTGAGGGATCTTCACCGCAAACCTCTCAAGATCATCATCACGGCTTGAATTTGCAATCTTGGTACCAACTAAATCAAGGCACAGGAACGGTATCCACGATGCGATGTATATTTCGTAGATGTGTGGGCACAGTCGGCAGCTAGCTCAACAGGTTTGTTGTTTTTTGTTGTCGGTGGATTAGCTTGATGTCAGCCAAGCCATTTAGATTGGCGAATCACCAGCCACGTTTATGGGTCTACCTAACACCAAAGTGGTTAGCCGAATCAGGTGACGGGTGTCGCTCAGGGGTGCTGGCGCAGTCCCGAGCGTGCCACAGTTATTAGGATGAACTAATTAGGTGGTGTATGCTGCAAGGCCCTATAAGGCTCTTCAAAGTTAATGTCCGCTCTACTAAATTAGGGTAGTAGAGCTTATATCTCAAGCTCAATCAGGCTATAGATAGACATAATGTTCGAAAGCTTGAAGCTCAGAAGCTCGTTAAGCCTAATATCGGCTCAAGCTATGCAAACTCATAAACACAAATGTCTCCCGGCAACTCCGTATTGCCAAAATGACGAACATGATTTCCGACAACCTGGCTCGGCTGGCTGCTGGTTCCAGGCTTTCACAGATTTGCTCTCTGTCTCAATTCACAAAGTCTTTACTTGTTCACACTGAAACACAATCTTCGAAGTCGATGATTCATAACTCTTCTGTTGGAATATCTATGTTCGCAATCATAGTCTGAATTTCAACTTGACGTTCAAAGTTTATTATTTCAATGCCGCCCATCTTGCTCGTATTCTTTAATGCTCTTAACTTCATTCATCAATCTCGTTTCCAATCTTGAACTCAAACATTGCAATATCTAGCTCAGATTGATCTAGTTTCAAAATTCAAGAAGACAAGTACCCAACTCTCTTGCGATGATGAATCCTTTCTGTTTTTACCTACATCCACGATGAATCTTCCAAAGCGAGCAGACCCCTCACTTACCATATAAGGTCTTAACGCGGACTAGGGCATACGTCCCACCCTGGTGCCATCGCGTGCTGTTGACAAATATCACAACTCTGTTCTTCAAATTGTAAGTCTTACATTTGCCAACATTGTTATGCCTCGTATCTTCCAATGTTCCTTCCAACTATTAACTTTCTGCAAATTGAGCCAAATTCTCATCGCAAATATTATGCAACCTGGAACTGTGAGCCAATGACTACCTCCGAGATATCCTCTCTGAAGCTGGGGAGATATTCCTCTTTCTCTGAAAATTATGCGAAGCTCTTCCTTGATACACGTCGCCATTCGACTTCGGCAGAAAATCTTCATGTTGGAATAAACAAGACATCATTGGTTCCTTCGCTACCTTCGAAATGTTCTCAAGCGCCACTTTATAAAATTCGGTGCGGATTGCTTCCATCCTGAGAAAGCTCTCGTCTCATATTTTGTCTTGTTTCTTTTCTTTCCCTTCACTGTCTTTCCTTTCGAGTCTTCCACTCACTTAACCTTACCTAGCGAAGACTTTGGTTCTTCTCTAGAATTGCATTGCAATTTGTTCTTGCTCTTTCTCAAAGAAAGTTTCTCTCTCGGTAAATTATTAGATGAAATGATATTCTCGATGCTCTTTTTGTGTTCCACTGCAGTTCAATGCTTGTCGTCCTGCTGGAACATCTGTAAACAACACCTCTGGGTCAGCTCAACTGACGAGATATTGGTAGGGTGTCAACCTCAGGATCGCAAAATGGCCTATCGTACCAGTATAAGTTTCAAAAACTTCCAGTGAGTTTGAACATCAGCCCACCAGACGGTGAAAGAATATTGCACGTGTTGTTTAATGCTGCTGTCCAGCTTAAGCTAGAATTCGTTCCCTTAGATGATCTCCTCGAATGCAATCACGTGCTTGTGGCATTGAGTGAACTGATACTTCACATCGCGCGCTGCGACTCCTTTGGATTTTCCCCAGAGCTAATGATAGTCCCGCTGAATATGGCTAGAAATCTACCACCAACCTTTATTTCCATACACTTCGGGGTCATCTGTTTGAGGGCTCAATTTCCTCTCCAATTGCCACTTGAGGTAGGAACTTGAGAAATGTTGGCTTGAGAAGATTACGAATAGCGTAGGACCTACAATGTTGACTCTAGTTGTCAATGTGTATTCATCTAAAGAGCTTGCTATGTACAGAAGTGATAAGCCATAAATAGGCCTTGCTGTAGGACTAGCTCCTTTGTGATTCAAGGTCATTCATTCACTCTTTGCTCACGCAAGAATCATTTTAGCACCCGCGGTGCGGATCTCAGAAAGCTGTGACTTAGATTCATGTCGAGCTCGCACGCAATTCTTGCATGGTTGCAAAATCCCCAAATACTGACGTGAATGTTTGCCAACATCAATAATGGGCATAATATTCGTGTACGTTAAAATAGCGGGCCGTTGAACTCATTCTTCTTCGATAAATAAATCATGACAGAAGCAATTCAAAACAATCAACCCTTGACATTTGACAACTTGTATTGCAATCGTTCATTTTCAGCCCCATACTTCGATCCTTTGGTGCTTTATACTGAATCTGACTAAAACCACATTCTAGCTGTAGCTTGGTGATTCTTGATTGTTCAATTTCTATGACCTGATTCGACCATTTCTCATAATTGGAAAGCCAGAGCAGGATTTCTCGATCTGTTCGATCTCTCTCTCTCTCTCTCTCTCTCTCTCCCTGTCTGGCCGAAAATTCATTAGGCAGATGACAAGAAAATTCGGCGTGAAGATCCCAAGATGATGTGGTGCAAGAGGCGCGAAGAATTATATTTCATGTCCTCCAGTGCTAGTCTACAATGGACTGGTACCATCACCAATATGGAAATCAAAAAGTGTATCTCTTCTGTTCCATCTTTACACTTACTGTCAGGAATTCAAAGACCTCAGCTCCATCATTCGGATGAGCACTTTGCAAGTCACCCGTTGATGCTTGAGACACTTGTGCTAGACCTGAGCGGATCTCAGCATCCGAACCAATCCATAATTTGCAATTTTCTGTGCTGAGGGTCGTTCAACATTATTTCCTGGAAGGGATATTTCGACCTAGAATACTGACGGAAAACACTCGTACATCTGGGAAATCTCTGTGAAATAATAGTCACA